CGAGTACCGGGTGGCTAAATGATTTATAGGTGCATTCATTATGTAAATGGCGCCGACGCGACGTATGATCACAGATTTAAACACTTAAATCTGTGGTATGATACATCACGTACTAACCAAGGGCTGAAGAGGACACAAGTCCTGAGCAGTCCGCCATTCATCTAATACTAACAATTAATGTATCATATACCTGTAAGATGTTAATAAACGTATTTTGATTGATTGATTGATTGGTATGATGTTTACAGTTCCAGATTTCCATACCTTTCCGCAAACGCATGACCACACATTGATAGATGAATTAATTCTCCATCCGTATTGAAGTAAATGTCAAGATTTTCAATATTGATCTGACCTTCACTGATTGTTTATTGCGAAAAAAATGCGCCGGTTTACCAGAACCGCAAATCATTCACACATTATTAATAGAGCACGTGAAAGTGTTTTTTTCTGTAATGGGAAAATTTTTACAAAGCGAATTTCTTAGCCTTCCGGATTCTTTCAAATATGGTTTTTACACGTAGATCTGGTATACGGGGTGGTGACTTGAACGCACCATAGGAATTTCAATAGTAATTTTTTAATTTCCGATTATTTGATAAATTCAGAAACAGTAAAAATTTAAAAATTAAAAACTGTTGCGTTTATAAAGTCGGTAATGCCATGGAATTATGAAATCAAACAAAAGCGCCTGCCATTAGTTAGCTTTGTTTGATCTCAAACTGCCATGGCACCACTGATTTTCTTAAAAGCGCCAGTTTTTAGTTATCCATATTTCTTGGTTTCAAAGTTCAAAAAATTAAAAGCTATATAGTATGCATGGATTCGTAATTTTTTTCTCTAGAAAAAATCTAAATAGACTTTATCCCTACAATAATTAGAGAACGCAATAATCGGAAATGAAAAAAATACTATTAAAATTCCTATGGCGCGTTGTTCAAGTCACCACCCGGTATAGATACGCAAGTGACAGACGTGAAATTGGAGTAGGTATAAGTATAGGTATACAGGGTGGTGCCTTGCGCGACGCAGCATAGGGATTTCAATGGTAATTTCTTTATAGTCCCCTAATTATTTTCAATAAAACTTTTGCACGTCATACAATCGTTTTATCTGCTCGAAAACGTTGAATGTATTGTCGTTCTCCTAATGGTTTTGACGGATATTTTGAACGTTATTGCAATTGCACATATTTAACACTGTGCCTGTTCTTTCGTACTGGCGCACAATTCTGTCTACTGTGGTACTGCTTGGAATCGGCCAATTGGGGTGCTTCACACTAAATAAAGACGTTACTTGGTGGGCATAAAACAGCTTTAACATTTCCACTTTCTCTTCATTTAAATACATGATAAATAATTATATGATTAACTAATTTATAAACAACTATAAATTTAATATATACGTCAAAGGCAAATAATGAAACGTGATCGCTGTTTTTTTAAGTAGGTATCTAATCCCAAGGCATATCTGATTAATTGTAAAATGAACCTTTTTATTTTGTCAATTTCTACGGTTTTAAAAAACGGAAAATTATAAGTAATAGTATGAACAGATGCAGTATTTTTTTCTCTAAAAAAAAACACATTTAGACTTGTGCTCAAAAACAATTAGCGGAGCTAGTAATTGACTTAAAGAAATTACCATTGAAATCCCTATCCAGTATTTTAATCTGTGTCCCTATATGCTGCGTCGCTCTAGGCACCGCCCGGTATACTGACACCTCGATTGACACCTTAATATGCAAATCCTGAATTTACTATAAGTAATTTTGTTTGCCCTACGGGTTGTAATATTTTTTGCTGTAAAACACAAATTTTGTTCTCTATCCGCTTACTAAAAAGTAGTTATTTATTCAAATTTTTAGAATGAAATTCCAACTTGGCGCGTATAGGCAGTGGCGTAACGACGTAACCAGGCATTTTACGAAGCGGAACCGGATCAGGTTTTGGCGCAGCGACAGTGCTTCGAGTCTAGGCCGATGCCGAACATGTTTTGAATTTAGCGTAAACTGAATGAGACGCAAGTAATACAATACAGATGGCCCATTTATCACGCTGTAGTCTTCAATAAATGAATTCGCTCTACGTCGCCAAGACCAAAAGATATTGACGACCTTACCTCTTCGGCGTATGTTAGTACATTTCATGATTAGTCACACTGCAAAGTCACGGCCGTCTTAGATTTATAATAACTGCGATATCATTGAAATGAGAATAAATGGCAAACAAGTAATTTTTGTCATTTAGGCGTATAGTATTATTATTTAGCTTGTTTTGATCTCTTCTATCGCCCAATCTTTTTACATACTTATATGTACCACCCTGTATAAAAATTTACAATACCAAACATTACAGTGAATAGGAATTACGTTTACGTGTCCCTGAACAATTGTTTACATTTTTGCGCGTAAGAAGACTTGGGGGTAAATTAGAATTCAATTTATCTTTATAGAATATTCATTTAAATAGATAAATTTTGCAGTTTAGGCACTTACATGGAATTGTTTAAATTGTATAACCTATGACGTTTGCATCATAAATAAAGCAGATAATGTATGTACAGTACGACCTGCATTTGACAGTATTTATTGAGTATACCGCGATTTTGATTTTTGTGGGATATATAAAATTGGCGCTTTATCTGAGCACAACATTCCCAAATGTTATTGTCATAAATCACCCAAATTAGGTTTTGATATATACCAATACCAGTAATACCACTTTATTTATTTACGGCATAATAACGTATTTATAGACACAGCAAAAAAGGTAAGATTCATGCGAGCTATAACCTAAAGAACAGCCAAAGATTATAGTTACTCTTTGAGAACAGCTACAAGTCAACGAGTCTGCATGAAAAATCAACATCATTGGCGAAACCAACATGGAGGAAACATGTTTAGACCTATAAGTGCCTGAATACATTATGCGTTTTAACAGGTCCCGTTTGAGCGGACCGTTTTGAACGGATTTACTGCATCCAATGGACTTAAATGCGAGCGTTTACTTATCCGGTTGCATCCCGGTGGCCGCAAGTGACCGCAGCTTGCTGCGTTTCAACCGGATGACCGGATGGTGAGATATCAAAAACATGTGCATGTATGTAGGAGTTTATATCATCCGGTTGTACCACTGCGGTTATATAATTTTTTACAATGTTTGATGTTGAAAAATTCATCGAATGTGTAATAATTCATCTACCGATTTGGTTGACGTCCGAAATATTCACAACATTTATTTTCGTACTTGCGTATATTGTTAAAAAAGATCCAAAACCGATTGCTGGATTCACGCTCCGCAAACAACGGATGTATCCAGTAAGAGTAACAACGCTTTTGGGGCTCTTTTAAGCAGTTGAGGACTTCAAGCTTCAACCTTTGACGACATTACAATTGCTAATAAATAAATAAAAGGATGCGTTTTCCGATGGTAATGTAGACGCACGCAAGCTTCAGGTTTCGCAGGATGCGTTTAAAACTCATAGTGTATTCAGTCACACAGTGATATGCCATAGTAGACTAAACACTCTTGGTACCTGCAGAATACAGAATGACCTTTCCTTTCAGAAAAAATCTATTTTTTACTTATGACCCTTGATCAAACAGTTGGTGGCTCAATCTTGAAAAATTTGCGTTTTGAATTCCATAATCTCGAATCGAGTTGAAATATTATTAAAACAAGATGTTGTCTCCGCTTAGATCATATGATCTAAGGTCTCCCCAATCAAATTTATAATTTCTGTCTTGCCTGTAGAATCTAAATCAGAAATTTTCAGCAAAAACTTATGAGCAAAAAAACAAAGACTCGCAAATCCATTGATAAACTACTTGTCTTAGAACGACAGTTACTCTCTTATTGATTTTAGACTTATAGAATTCAAAACGGCGAGACTTTTCACTATGTATATTGTATATCATGACAAAGTGACAAAACAACAGACTTATTTTTTAAAATACTAAGTACTATTCGCCTTTTTTTCAAGAGTGGGTGACTACATCAACGTTATGGGCAAACTACAGGTTTCTGTAGAAGAAAAACGCCCAATTCCATTGTAAAACGGCCCCTCTGTCAACCAGAAAGAATAGATTTTGGCCCATAAAATCCAAAACCTTTCCAAGTCAAAATCAGGCTAGAATTTATATGGGTGTATCATTGTATCAATGTAGTTATACGCAAAAAGGGAAATAGTGGGATAGCCTTGCCCATACTGTTTCTTGGAAGTTTTGTTCTTTAACGTTTTGCAATTCTTTGAAGTGGTACTATTTTGTACTAGAGACAATTTAATACACCGTAATTGGTCAATAACTTACCTGTGATGTGTACTTGTAATCCATATTATTTATGTTAATAGATATTATCCTACACCTTCACTCGGTATAACAAAATGAGCTGGGTATATTGACGGTTTTTGTTATTTTTTACTTTCGATAGTTTCATGTAGATGTTTTATAATGATTATTAGTATTGTATTTAAAACCTTTTAAATACAATATTATTTTTCAATATTTGATATGTACGTTCTAATTTTTTACACATTTTAGTTTATGCATGTCATCGATTTCTGTTTATTTAGAGTAATTCATACTCGCTCATCTCTGTATGCTTGTCTATTTAATATTTCCATAACTACATCCGTTCCTAGGAATGTTAAGCCATCGGATAAGATCTTCAACCCATAGTATAGGAGCTTCTCTCTGTCCAGCAATCGTGGGGCTTCTAGTGAGAACTTTTCTTTTACTTTTACACTTCCTTACATAAAAATCTTGCATATGTTTTGGTTGATGTTAAATCTCTTGGTTCAAGGAATCCCTTTATTTCATTATATACCAATATTTATTTGTAGATTTAGGTATGTACTTGTATTGTGGTTCCAAACAGTTTTTGATTGTCCTCTTCAGCAAGTATATTTCACTAGTACAGCTTTGCCTATGTTAAGTATGTACACTGCAGGCGTTAAAAGGAGGTCAGATTACCAGAATTGAAAATAAAACAAGTAAATAACATTCACTAACTCTGCATTTAACTTCATATTATTAGTGCTTTGAACATAGCCAAACATTAACTTTATGTGCAAATCTCTATTAGATAAAATTTACGACTTTTATAAACACTTAAAACAGATAACGCATAATTTTGGCATAGTCTTTTTAGATTCCTCTCTTCCTTATATAGAATGCATCCAATTGTTTGTTACAATAAACCTCAAATATAGCTTCTATACATTATTTGGCAGTAGCAAAAAATAAACGAAACTACAACTAAAAAATAATAGTGAACAATTAATGAGTGCTTAGGAAGATCCCATGACATACAAGTATTGCATGTTGCGTTAATACACAATTATTTAGAAATAACATTCAGTTTTCTACAGTTTTCTATATACAATTCACTCATTAGGCTCATGTCATTCTCTTGGTTCGTGAGGAGCTGGTAATTTATTGTAGTTGGGCTCTACTCCCCAAATGTCCCTGCCATAATCGATAATGGTACGATCGCTAGAAAATTTACCTGACGAAGCAATGTTGTGGATCGCCTTTTCCAGCCATTTGCTTTGGTTCTGTAAACAGAATACATCAAATTGCAACAATAGAAATGGGAAAACCTAGTTTTAAGAAAAGGGGTGATCTAATGGGAATTCCCATATAGACTTGCACCATGCAACATAAGACTAACAGGTTATGAGTCTAGATCATCGTCTTACCTCATACACACGACTGACCTCCTCTTGAGCTCTAATGTAAGCCTCATAATCGGCAAGAAGGAAGAATCTGTCCCACTTCAATAAAATATCTACAATATCTTTGAACTCGTCCGGATTTCCGGGACTAAAGAATCCGTTCTGAATCTGATCGATCAGCTGTTTAATTTCAGGATTTGAATTATAATAATCGTGTGCGTTGTACCCTTTCCGTTTTAAGGCCTCCACTTCATCGACGGTCATGCCGAAAATGAATATATTTTCGTTACCCATTTCCTCAGCCATCTCAACGTTAGCGCCATCCAATGTACCTATAGTGAGAGCACCGTTTAACATGAATTTCATGTTTCCGGTACCGGAGGCTTCTGTGCCGGCAGTGGAAATTTGCTCACTTAGATCGGCGGCGGGAATAATTTTTTCGGCGAGTGTAACGCGATAATTTTCCAAATAAATTACTTTCAATTTATCGCCAATTACAGGATCGTTATTTACGACGTTACCCACCGATGTAATAAGCTTAATTATTTTTTTGGCTGTGTAGTAGCCGGGTGCGGCTTTTCCTCCTATCATAACTGTACGTGGCACCACTTTGGCAGAGGGGTTCTTTTTTATTCGATTGTACAATGTGATTATGTGAAGGCAATTCAGCAACTGCCGCTTGTACTCGTGGATTCTCTTGACTTGAATATCGAACAACGAGTACGGGTTGACCTTTACCCCATAGCATTTCTCTAAGATCGAGGCTAGTTTGAATTTATTTTCTTGTTTCACATTCATTATGGCCCTTTGGAAACCGGAGTCTGTGGCCCACTGTTTCAGCTGTTGCAGTTGATCCAAATGAACAATCCAATCTTCTCCGATTCTATCTGAAATTAAATCCGCTAAACCGGGGTTGCACAGAAGTAACCAACGCCTGGGTGTAATGCCATTAGTTTTGTTTTGAAACTTTTCGGGCGATAACGCGTAGAAGTCGCGGAACCTAAAAAAATCAAAATAGTACATACAAGTTTACAATAAAGGAACCTTACAGGTCGTCTTTAATAATCTCAGAATGGATTCGTGCAACGCCGTTGACAGCATGCGAACCGACGATGGACAAGTTCGCCATGTTGACACGTTTTTCGCCATCTTCTTCAATTAAAGAGAGGGCTCTTAATTTATCCCAGTCTCCTGGCCAACGTTTCTCAACTTGTTTAAGATGAAGAAAGTTTATATGATATATAATTTCCATGTGGCGCGGTAGGATCGACTCCAGCATTGATGTGGGCCATCTTTCGAGAGCTTCAGGTAGTACAGTGTGATTGGTGTAAGCGCATGTTCTGGTGGTGATATCCCACGCTTTCTCCCAATCTAAACCTTCACAATCGATCAAAACACGCATTAATTCAGGTATGGCGAGTGAAGGATGAGTATCATTCAGTTGGATTGCAACTTTATCCGGAAACAGTTCGAAAGTAGTCCTCACAGCGTCCCTCTTACCAAACTTGGCGGCCTTGAATCGCCGAATGATATCTTGAAGCGTAGCTGCGACCATAAAGTATTCTTGTTTAAGACGTAATTCCTTCCCTTCAAACACGTTATCATTTGGGTACAACACCCGAGAAATATTCTCTGCCAAGTTGCGATCTAATACTGCTTGAATATAATCTCCGTCGTTAACTACAATGAATAATGAATTACACAATCAACCCCATTTAATTACTCACAATATTTTAAATCAAATTCAACTGGCGATTTGGCCGACCACAACCTGAGAGTATTTACGACATTGTTATTATAGCCGGGTATCGGATTATCGTAAGGCAGTGCATAAACAACTTGTGTATTAACCCATTTTTTTCCCTGGGGCGTATCCTCAACGTGACCGAAAAAGTTGACCGGAATCATGTATTCTGGTCGCGCTTTCTCCCACGGATTTCCAAAACGCAGCCAATCGTCCGGTTCCTCTCGCTGTTCCCCGTTCACTATCTTTTGTGCAAAAATGCCATACTCGTATCTAATACCATAACCGTAAGCTGCCATACCCAAAGTTGCCATCGAATCTAAAAAGCAGGCTGCCAAACGGCCCAGACCACCGTTACCTAAACCAGCATCTTCTTCAATATCCTCAAGTTCTTCGATGTCCAAACCCAACTGATACAGGGCTTCATCGCATGATGTTTGAATCCCTAAATTTATCATTGTGTTTGTCAGGGATCTTCCCATGTAGTATTCCAGGGAGAGATAGTAGACGCGCTGAAAAAGTCAAATATATCTATAGCGAAAAGGATGGCACTAGGGATACCGAGATAGCGGGATCCCGACATACCGGGATCCCGAAATACCGGGATCCCGCAGCATTTTTGCGGGATTAATCCCTAAATAAATGGAGCGGGATTGAGGAATTTGTCGCCCAACGGGACGACTCTGTTTACTTTATTAATGAAACGCATAACGAAGAAGTTATTTTCAAAATAATCGTTAAACTTTTTTTCGTTAGAAATTTATTATGATTTTTGTGGCACTTTTGTACTTGACAGGTAAGGTTTTTTTGAGTTTTAGGTTAGGCTGAAGTTACTTTTCTGTTGAACGTTGTGGTAATCAGCGATTTATTTTAATACAGAAGTTAACCGCACAAAATTGCTTATTTTCCAACTTATTTAAAATTTTGCGGGATCCCGCAAATACCGGGATCCCGCGGGATTAACATCTAACGATCCCGCTAATACCGGGATTGAGATTTTGCTGCGGGATTGCATCCTCTAGTTGGTTATTTAGACATTCATTCGTAGTAAACAGCTCAAAACTGTTTAAAAACGGTATTTGTGTTGGTTTTTCCAACATTCAATTTTTAAAAGCATTTCCAAAACGTTCATAGTGGGACAGATAATGGCAGGTATCTTTCAAAAGATGATACAAGCATGAAATTTGGTATAAATGCTTCTATAAAGATACGGTTTTATTTAAAAACGCTGGCCACTTAAAAAATTTAATATATGCGCCGTTTTCCAAGATGGCAGCACATACATAGCAATCAAAAATGAGTGACCGTCGAGTCACCTTTGCAATGTTTGTTTACATGGGACATCATACTGAACTTGAACTTCCAAAGGCGATTTGACAGTCACTCATTTTTGATCGCCCGATATTAGCTATTATTATAGTGGTAAGTATATTTTCAAATAAACATACTAACGTACTAAGTACCATGAAATTTGGTATGAATGCTTCTATAATGGTATTGTTTTATATGAAAACGTTAGCCATTTAAAAAATTCAAAATGGCCGCCTTTTACTTATCACTAATAATACTATGCGATCAAAATTGAGTTGCTGTTGAGTCACCTTTAGAACTTTTGTTTACATGGGAAATCGTACGTAACTTGAACTTCCAAAGGCGACTCGACCGCCACTCATTTTTGATCGCCCGCGAATATTTGCATGATCTGTGCCGTCCTCTTTTAACAGTGGCCATCTTGAATTTCTTGAGTGGCCACCGTTTTCATATAACCCTTATAGGAGCATTCATACCAAATTTCATGCCTGTATCATCATTTGAATTTTACTCAGTTTGATATAGGTTTTTTTTCTCTTTCCAACCATGTTTAACAAGTTATCATTCAAATAATAAACATGGGTAAAAATACAATTTTCATTTTTCCTTCATAGTTGGACTACATTATATTGTATACACAAGTGGGCCCAAAAAGACCCCTGTGGGGCCCCTTCTAACGTTAATAAAAAAAACTGATTGGGTAGCATTAATCTTTACAGACTGATGACACCTTCCAGTCAAGTAACTATCAAATGTTTTCACTGCTTCACATTACAATCTTTTGTGAAAAATTTGAATAACATCAAAACTGCGGGGTTTAAGCACAGGGCACCCCTTTTAAACATTGAAGAGAACACAAAAGACAATCGAATAGCGAAATAAAATAGCGGTAGATCCATTTGAAAAAAGAATAGTTATAAGTAGCAATTTGAACAAATGGCATTGAAACAAGTAAAAATATGCAGGATGTTCTATTTAAAAAGATCAGTTATTTATTGACATCGTAAAAATGGGACACCCTGTACATTCAAAAATAATTTCTGTAGATCCGCAATCACTAATATTTTTAACCAGGCATTAGCTATGTAGGAAAAACCAACGCACTGTTGCAGGACCCTGTATATAGCCAAATACTATAATATTGAATAAAAAATTTTATGTGGTTCTTTAAAAACTGGGAGATTTTGTAAATTGTGATTTTTGGCTCTTCCGTTTCAATAGGTTGCCGACCCCTGATCTAGCAAGAAGGTAAACATTGATGAATGCAGCATGCTACTACCTTATAACCCAACTATTTACTAAACTATTTCGGTTGAAGAAAAAATCCGCTTTAGCTGCACACGATTTGCGCACAATTTATGCTTGTTGAGTGTGATTGCATTACCTAGACGACAATGCTACTATAGCCCGTTCGCACCTCCAGATGCAGTATGAGGATTTATAGACTAAACATCTATCTCACTAATTTGTGTCATTCTTCGATCATGCTACCCGTGTTCCTCACCACGATGATGTCAAACTAACATATGAATGAATTTGAAGTATTAAAACACAACATAATCTCCATATGCTGTCATTGACACATTTGTTAATAAGTTTGGCAAGCATATACGGTATGTCCATAAGCATCATACTGCATAAGCTAAGGCAAACTGTTCGTTTTTACCCTATATCTCAGAAACAAACGTAGCTATTGATTGATGCTGTTTGTGGTATTAAAAGATTTACAAAAAAGTGGCACAGGGTCGCGAGAAGCGCAAGTCTCTATCTTTAGAAACAGCTGTAATAAACTGCAGTCGCAACCGAAATAGGACACACTGTAGAAGTATACACTGCCAACATTTTAACGAAATCAAAATAACTGTTTTGGCGAGAAAAATAGCTAATTATTTCACTTTGACACTTTTTCTCCGTTTTTTTTAAATAAAACCTGGCACACAGAAAAATTAATTAAAATGTTGCATTGTCGGAAAAAAACATTGATGCTGTTGGCGCGCTCCAAAAATTTTGTTTCAAAAATTCGGCCCAATATTTTTCCTTTCCGTATGTCTAATATCTCGCCTAATATATCAAAAAGTTGAACAAAACCCTTTGAACCATTATCTCGGACAATGTACAACATACGTTGTACATACAGAGGAAAAAAATGTTACTCTATAAAAGTTGCTAAAATAATCTAAAAGCTCGACATTTGATGAAATTTTGCTCATGCTAGGAAGCTAAAAATTACGCTCCCAAGGTCCGACGTCGACACCAGTCAGAAATGTGCCGCTCTGCTGATCAGTGACGGCAGTTCGTAATGATTTTTCTGTGCATTGACCATCAATTTTATTGTAAGCTCTAAGTACTTAATAAATAAGTTTTTATTTTCAATATTTCTCATTATTTATCTAACTACCGAAAATCGATTTTTATTTTTTTTTCGATTACGAATAAATTACAAGAGACCAAAAAGTTTGAAAACAGATCAGAAAATCAAATTCTTATGTTACAATCTACCAGTGGCGTACCGAAAAGTAGAGGTAGACAATTGATCATGAGCCCTGATAAAAAACACCCTGTATATTCTCACTACCATTGACATGAACAAGAACAATGATGTAAACCCTTCAGCGTAACTTATATTTCAAATTTGAGTAAAATAACTCAAAAAATGCAAGATATAGGGAAAAAACTTAAAAATCTTGAAACACCCTCTAGTAACTAAGCGTTTGCGGGCCTATGTTTATATCAACTTTTAGTCGATAAATAAGCCAAAGAATTAGCCCTTTCCATATTTACACGTGTCCACCCTGTGCATACCATAACAATCTTAACATTCTTGCAGCCACAATCAAACAATATTTGTTTTTTCAAATTTTAAATTGAAAATACACACTTTAGTTCCTTGGTACATAATATAGATACTACTAGAATCTTTTGCACAAATGGACCTCGCAAAACTGAATCTTTGCAATGGGTCTGTGATACCTATTGGGTCATGACCTAGAGTGTTTACAATACTGTATTAGATTAATTCCCAAACCAGTTCTGTTGAAGAATAAGCTCATAACTAACTATAATAAGTAAAATATGTATTGCTCTTGTATCAAAAGGTTTATTTATTCTAAATTACTTTAATTACAAACCAAGTACCAAGTATTTAATTATTTATAGTTTTTGACCTGACCCGATCTTGATGGTGATCATTGCCTCGTTGTGTCCCTAGATCCTTACATTATCTTAATATACAACAAAAGGTACACAAAATAAACTTATCTACCATAGGAACATAATTTATTTGACAAGAGATTATACTTACAACGCGATTCTTAAAAAATCCACGTAGTACACAAAGCTTTAAATGTTCTTCAATATCGTCTATACGATATGCGAAAAAAAATTATTGCGGGTTTGACAGTTTACAATAAGCTAGAAAGAAACACAACCATCTATATTTAGGAGTTCACGGTATGGGAATTTGAAGTCTACAGAGCTCTCCTCTTTCAAAGCTTCGTAGCTAGACCCACTGGAATAGCGACCGGCTTACAGTCTGCCATTCCGAATCGTACCTGGAAGTCGTTGATAAAAGTTCCGAATTTTAAAGTCAAATAAAAATGTTATTATCCATGTATATGTACAATATTGTAAGCTGCCTAAGATCTTTCTTTGGTATTAAAACCGCCAAGACGAAACATAGAAAAGAGAAAAAATGCCATTTTTCCAGAGCAACAAGACTCCATTAAAACTTTTATCGGCCCTCCGATTGACTTTCGGACAACGTTGCCAAACTTCTCAGCATGGCTTGTCATTATAGACGGCTGTGAAAGAAACCCAATAAACAAACAAATTTAATGTCAATGTCAATATTGGTAAAGTTATGTCTCTTAACTCTCTGAACTTCGGACATACTTGTTTTATCTTGAAATTCACATACCTAGGCGATGTCCTTGACAATATTTTACTTGCCATTAGCAGTCCACGTACTGTATTGTCTAAGTCTAAGAGAAAAACAAAGTACCCAATAGATAAACCATAAACAAACAAGATCCCAAATTATGACAGTTTTAAACTCGGTTTTAAATTAATTCTTGTTGTCTTTCAAGATATAATTATGTGCTAATTGAGAAGACTTTCGGATCTCTTCTACAGCATAGGAATACATGTGTTGGCGTGAGGATACAAAATGTTGAGTGAAGTTTATTCAAACAGAAAATTACAGAATGTTTCAACTGTCAAGATTACATGCCAAGGCAAATGCAATCAGCTTGATCCCAAACACTAATTACACTATTGATTGATGATGGTTATGAGAATATTTACACAATAAATCATCATAAAAAGGAAAGTTGTAATATAAACATCAATACCTACAGATGGGAAAAAACCTCGAAAAAAACAAAGCAGAATTTGTTAAAGACCCCAGTAATGTGTTTGATCAGCTACTCAGATGGCAAATTGTTCCTTAAAGAGTGTTTTGAAGTAAATTCATTATTTTAGATTCTTCACTTATTGGGTTATTAGCACAAGGAAGAAACCAGATTTCCTGCACTTTGACTACAAATTGTACAAAATTCAGAAATTTTGTTCTTGAAAATATGAAGAAAGTTTAATTTTGTAATTCATATGTCATTGTACAAATAATCCCAAGTTGCATAATCTGTTTACAGTTTAAAAAAAAACAAGTGTAAGTCTCAGTTTTTCCTATCCAAGGATAAATGAACTAAAAAAGAGGTACATGACTGAACTTTGTAGCGACATCGAAAAAACGAAATCCAAAATAGATTATACTATCAACGCTCATCTATTAATTCCTTATCTATAGTAGGCAATTACATAAGCTTTTATTTACATCATAACTACTGCCAAGATTTGATTCAATAGCTATAAATACTAGGCTACAATATAAACTGTACACACCTTGTGCAGGTCTTATTATTACCAAGTTCAATACAATGATCACATCTCGAGATCGCCTTAATCTTACCAAAACTGCATTAAGCGCTATAATTACCAATAACCAAGGGAATTTGTTTCTACCACTCTGCATTGTGTGTGTGGGTATGTAAATTTTAAACAATTACATACATGTGTAGGTAGGTCTCTAGGGAAGTGTGTAGGCAACACACAAGTCAAGGGAAAATGTTTGTTGCCATTATCAACAAAAGAAATTAACCCAGAAACTAATGAGTAAATATAAAATGTTCTAAGCACATCAATATTCTGAGGGACCAGAATTTTATAAAACTGTACAGTGTGTTGTCTACATTCCTGGGGTCAATAAAATCGTACCCAATTTATATTGTATTATTAAATAGCCATTAATATTAGATATCAAACATGCCCTAATTTGGAATGCTAATAATCAGTGGGATATTATCAGTAAGTGCAAGTAATTAGATGTAATCTACTGCAAATTCATTATCATCAAAATAACTGCGGCAGATTATTGAAATGAATCACCTTTAGAGATTGCGGACTGGGGACTGATCTCCCATTTACATTTAATGATTCAAAATCAATACATACCTTCGGATCCTTCTCATAATAGTGCTGCTGGGTACGAATCCATCTTGAAACCAAATGATCCCTCACCGTGTGGGCCAAGGCGAAGTAGTAGTCACGAGGTGTCGACACATTTCGGTCTTTAACTAGGGTGTAGTGGAGATGCCGATTGAAAGACTTCTTAATTTGGTTAACATCCTCGACTTCTGCGATGCCCCTGACACTAATTTGCTTTCTTCTCTCGAAGTCGGACTGAGGAGCAGCCATGCTTACTTTACGAGGATGAAAGTTAAACTGCTGAAGCTGAAGGTTAATTTATATTTCCAGAACAAATTGTTTACTTACCTAAAGAAGATCAGTTTAACTTCACCGGCCACCCTACTCCAACTAATTCCAAGTAAGACGTTTTAGAGGTCACCTTGTAGACTTTTACTAATGGCGCTTGCGTGAATCTTTCAAATTAATTATTGTTGCTATCAGTGAATTCGGTTAACGAGCTGAGCACTTTATAATTAATTTTTATTATGCTATAATTCTGGATTATTAAACAATGTAAGGAAACACATGTTCAAAATATTTCAAACACCAGTGGCGTAGGTAATATTCGAAAAAACTAATTAGGTATCTTCCAGGCATTGATTATCAGTAAGTAGTGTGTATAATCATTGATTATACTATAATCAATAGTATAATGAATGCTCCAGGAAATGGTGTACCTACCTACCTCAACCTGGATCTTTCTAATTTAAACAATTGATCAAATGATATAATAAATACCTATTTTCCATTGAGGCTTTTTAATCAAGAACCGACTTACGTTTAGCGGGTACTAGACTACTATAGGTAAGTAGGTAGTATGCATATTAGTACCTATAAAATATCCCTATCTCCCTTTTCCTACATTAGATAGGTACAAAACGTGTTCAATGGAGATCTATGACAATACGGTCACGTAAGCCATGGACTATAATTACACTATTTTTAGTCTATGCGTAAGCGGAGCACTTACAAGACTCGAAACCCGTACCAGGCGGGCTATTTCAGGCAAATGCACTGCCGCCAAAGTGCCAGACTAGATCATCGCAAGTACGGGCCACTCAGGCCTTAAGGTCGCTTTTATGCACGCGTTTTGGGTCGCTTGCCGACAAAAGTAAGTTACGTCTGAGTCTGAGATGTATACTATTTTTCACTACTAGATAGTACTTGAATTCCTCTAAATTAAAGGTTGTCGTTGTCGCACACTTGTCCGTTCCGTTCCGTCACGTTACGGATCGTTAGAAAACAAAGGACATTGAATTAAACGTCTCTGCGCACATTAGCCCGTTCCGTCAGAGAATAAGTGTGCGTAGCGCGAACCGGAACGGACAAATGTGCGGCAACCTTAACAGAATATAACGGGCGATCAAAAACACGTGGCGGTCGATAGTCGCCTTTGGAGATTTCCCATGCAAACAAAAATTCCAAAGGTCACTCGACAGCAACTAATTTTTGATCGCATAGTATTATGTCTTTCTAATGTATATTCATATACCTACAGAGAATTTTTTTTAATGCGAACATAGGAGTTTGTATGCAATGTAATTTCCCTATGTTCGATTTTAAAAAAAACACATCAATCTATTGAGTAGTTCAAATGAGTAGTAGATACAATTGACAGCTGTCACATTTTTAAAAATACCGCCGTCCAATTTAATTACGAAACCGGTTAGGTTATTGCTTAGAATGTCAAGGAGGACACTTCGAACATTTATTGTAATTGTTTTGGGTATTTATTTTCTTATTTTCTTCATTTATGTATTGAATAAATCAAATTAGTAGAATACCAGGTGCACATGACCTACAAATAATTGAAGGTTGGTTCACAATGAATTGTGATGTCAGCGCGTCCCATGTGAAGTCAAGTTATCGTAAGTTTAAGAAAAATGTATCCTAAAGTTGCTATGGCGTCACATATGGCTTATTTAAAAAATCTTACCGAGTGCTCTTCATCATAAAGACTATGAGTTGCTGTTCATAGTCACACAAGTTGCGCGATTTGGGAATGTGAACCGCGCACACCTCATAGATTGATGTGTTTTTTTTTAATCGAACATAAGGAAATTACATTGCATGCAAACTCCTATGTTCGCATTTTAAAAAAACTCACTGTATAATACAACAAGAGATCCGAAAATTGTCGGTAATTTTTTGCATATTGCAGATACGAGTATTTGTTGCGACGAAAATCGACAGAGGGTTACATATTTAATATTGTCAGTTTTGACATTACGTATTAAAAACGTCAAAAATTTGCCGTGGCAACTTTTCTGCCAAAAAATCGCCACGGCTATTTCAGCTTTTGATTGGTCGATTTAAAAAAAATTAAACTATTTGATTCGTCCAAAACAATCGAGGTGAATTGTCAAAGGTATTGTTAAGAAAGTGAACGGTTTGACAGGAACATATATAGTGCCAAGAGCAGTAAGTGATCATCCAACTCGAAATGATAAAGTATTTCATATTTTTCAATCACTTACACAAACATGACAATAAATTGGTCGTCATTCTTTTTTTAATGTAGCGAATATTCTAGAAATCCCGATAGACATCAAGGAGCCATGAAAGATTAGTCATCAGCAGAGCCGGATAAACGGGAGGGGTAAATTTCGATTTGCCCATCTCAAGGGACTAGATTGTCGTTGCGATGCGTTTTCAAGAATATCCAATTCGCAACACCTCCCTGGGCTGAGAGGGTGTTTACCTGTTAAAACCAGAGTGTTGTCAACTCATGAACGAAATGTAATTGACAGTGTTACATATAACATATAAGATCTAAAACAAAAACTTGGTATGCAAATGTCAATGTGGTAAATTTAGTGGCAAATTTATAAGATAGGGTTTTTTTATGGTTAAATTTTTAAAACTTTCACGGGAGAGAACCCCCGGACTCCCCATTTATGTGAGGGTACTCTGTACCCCCGCACCCGGCGGAATTCGATACCTAACCTGCTAATCATCAATTGTACTGACATTTGCCCTCTCCAAGATATCATCCTGGATGCGCTACTGATGGTCATCGGCGATAAGAAACTTAGAAACTAAGAGTGAGGTGAGGTATATTCTTTCCGGGAAATACGACGTGTTTGTTCTATAACATTCGGAAACGTTCGGGAGCACTTGGGAACCTGGAAAGGTTGTTGTTTGCTATATAAGCAAATCGAATTGTTTTGAGTTAGTTCCATAATCGATGCCGATAGTGAAATACAAGGTGAAATATTAGTGATACATAGGTCGTGCTAGGACGTGTTATGTTATAAATTGTGAGTGATAAATACCTACTAATTTAGTTTATAAATTAATCAATTTCAAGACTGTTATAAATTTATTGTTAATGAATTGTAAATAAATAAATCCCGTAATTAGATATATTACATTATGCAATTACTTTGATCAGATGCCATATGAACTAATGCAGAATTCGAAACATGGAACATTTGTAATAATAAAGATAAGGTTTCACTAATTGTATTTTATTTACTGTTTTCTTTCTCGATTTCGGGCTGTGAGTCGATAGCGAAAACATTAAATAAAACACTTATGCCCGTTTGCACCGAAAAATTTAAGCGGAGCTTAGCTTAAAATCCATGGCAACCATTGTCTCAATAATCGTTGCCATGGATTTTAAGCTACGCTTAAGCCAAGCTCCACATAAATTTGTCGGTGCAAACGGCCATTAGTGAAGCTAAAGCTAATGGTCCCGATCGAACTGAAAATATTGTAGATTAAAAATTCCCCATCAGATCCAAGCGGAGAACTTCAATTATATCCTTTAATAAAACCACAAGGATTCGCCCACACACTATATTATGGTCCTTCTTGTAGATTTAAACTTTTTACTTATTTGTGAACTGTCATTTTCTTCGATACTAAGAACGAGAAAATTTTGGCCCAAAAATTGTAACCATGTCGTAGTACCATAATGTGGATACATACACATGCCATGGTGCCTGCTCCAGATCGTGTACCCTTCTACCTTTCTCTTTTCTTTAGGGTAATTGGTACGGAAAGCATTCAATTTTTGTGGTGATTACTTCTTATCGCTTGGTATACACTAATATATGTTTTGGACGGGGGCCAAATCATCTCACGCGTAACGCCTCAGAATATAGAACAGGTACGCTACTATATTCTGTTGTCGCACTTAATGCTCGGCAGTCGACGGTGAGTGCGGTCGCTCGCCTGGCTCGCCGCCCGAGCTCGCGCTTGTTTTTGCTTGCAAAAAGAAGGGAGCGAAGGAATTGTGAGACTGAGACTGTAAGTGCCGCTTTCAAATTTGACATCAAGGTTGTCGTTTTGCTACCATCTTTTTTTTTGTTGAATTAATTTATCAAATTATCATTATCTTCTAAAATCTCGCGATACTGAAACCACAAATTTGTACAAGTTGGGAATCAAAAATTGAAACTTGTATAGCAGTCAAAAATTTGCGCAAGTATCTTCTCCCAATTCTACTGTTTCTGTATTTCCCAAAAACACCAATGGGTACGCCACTGAATATTTTAAGAACTACATACTTACAATACTTACCTATTTTATTAATATCATTTATCAATATGCCATTCAACCATTGTATTTTTTTAATGCCAAACGTTTCACAATTTAGAGCTGGAAATTCTGCAATTATTGAACAAAAGTTGCTGATCCGATCGTAGGTAGGTAGATATCGGTCGGATTTGAAGGAAATAAATCCGCTACGCCTGCGAAACCGTTGGCTTCCGTTGCATTAGAATTTAGCACAGAAATAATTATTTATGCAAAAACAGCAAAAGTGAGAATGTGGCGAGAATGGAAAAGAAAAGAAAATGTGGAAAAATTTCTCTATCCTACTTAAGTTAAATCAACGTCCCACCTTCATTCCCACTCCCATCAGCATAGATACTTGAATGATGACGTAGTTGTGTGTTTGTACGGCCATGTTGATATGGTTTGTATGCGTGCGATAAACGTGTTTAAAAGGCTTCAGTGTGTACGTTAAAATAATGTAAGGCGAAGGGGTGGGTTAGTAATAAACGTTTAAGCGTGTAGATATCTCCCAATCGATAACAATGCGGTAGGGGTCGTGGTAAATTTGATTAAAATCGCCGAGGTCATCGTAATGGACCACTTTCGTGACCCACATCAAATTAAAGAGCTGAAATATGTGTGAAACTTCAAATCGAGAAGTAACCGCCGACAACATAAACATGAATTTGTTTATATAGACTCTATGAAGCTTTTATCATGTCAAACAAGAAACAACAACAGTACGTAGGCAAAGCATCCTCAACAGCTGACCCTGGAAATTCGGTACCACCTCGCTATCAACCACCGCCGCTACCCCAAGCGACAACCACCACAGGTATTCTTAAACATCCCACTGTGAAAGAGACCAAGCAATACCCCGTTAAAGCAGCAGATAATGTGAAAGTTCCTTACCTTGCTGATCCTAATAAATTTTACCCCACGACTGTATCGGCGCCTCCCGGTCACAAACAGTACCAATATCCCTATCCACAAAATCGGGCACCTCCAGTTGCGCGAACGTTTGAGGAGGATTTGCGAGCTCAATCTCAAATTCATCAAGATTTGATTAGAGGTCCTCAAAGGGTAGAGGAGGACAACACCGACGCGCGATTTCAGCAGCGTCTGCCAATTAGGTACCCCGACGACGACTTCCATCGTCACCCTGGCGTTGATGGTAATAATATGTTAAAATTTGTGCGCAAATCCGATTCAGATACGCGAATTCCACCCGACCCAGGTAGGCACGTGCAAATGCAAAGTATATTATCCGAATTACGAACTCTGAAAGAGGCAAACCAACGTTTAGCGGACGATAACCAAGAGTTACGCGATTTGTGCTGTTTCCTCGACGACGACAGGCAAAAAGGCCGCAAATTGGCGAGAGAGTGGCAAAGATTCGGAAGATATACCGCCAGCGTTATGCGTCAGGAAGTGTCCGCGTATCAAAATAAGCTCAGAGAGCTCGATAACAAACAGCAGGAGTTAATAAAAGATAATTTAGAGTTAAAAGAACTGTGTTTATACCTTGACGAGGAAAGGGGAGGCAGCAGTATTTGTCCATCGTGCGGCAGCTCGACAGGCGGCAATTTGCGGGATGACGGCGATGGTTCTAGCTCGAGCACAAATGCCGACGAACCAGCGATTCCGCAAGAGTTTAGCGCTACCGAAAATAATCCTCCGCGCAGATCCGCCAGCAGAGAACGTTTACTACATGAAAATCTCGCCAGGCAGCGCAACACGCTCAATGGTAAGAATATTCTCACAGATCTACTTTCTTTTTCAAAAATCTCTTATTTATTAAGTGTCAATAACTTTGATTGTACAGATCGGTACGCGTCAACTCGCCAAGGGCGACTCGCCACCGGACCACTCGCCACCGACTGACTCGCCAACGGACGACTCGCCACTGCGACAACTCGCCAACGAAATATGTTTCCCTGTTTAATGTGTCGTTCAAATAACGATGTGATTGTCAAATTTTCTGTTCAAATAATATTTGCAGAAGATGTCGTTATATCAAAATGTAATAGAAACAGGCATAGGCGGTTGGGTCTTCATTCAAATATTGACTACAATTTTTTGATAAACTTTGTTTATAAAATTAGGGAAATTGACTATTGCATTTGCGGAATGCATTAGTATGACACATTAAACAGGGAAAAATATATCGGTGGCGAGTTGTCCCGTTGGCGAGTTGTCGCGTTGACGAGTTGTCCCGTTGGCTAGTCGGTCGGTGGCGAGTGGTCCGGTGGCGAGTCGCCCTTGGCGAGTTGACAGTGTCCCGTACAGCTTTCCTAATAGGTACTTCGCTACTTACAATCAGTTGATTTTGTATTCTGTGACATTACTTCTAAGGTAAGACGCAGGTTTCAAAAATGTATCAAGTTTCGGGCATCAATTATGAATAATTGATGCCAATTATAGCAAGGGATCAAGTGGTCGTATTTGTTGCAGATCAAACGATGCACTACGTAAAAACATTAGAACAGCGTATTAAACAATTGGAGGACGATAAACGCACGTTAACTCACAAAGTGAATCAATTCGCGACGTCAGTTGGAGATCCCACAGTAGAAATCCCACCTGATTCCAATGGCATTATCAGCGGACGACCGGAAGCGGTCGTACGCGCACTTCAAGTTCTCGAAGTTCGAGAACAATTGGAACGTGAGGCTCGCATGTCCGATCGCGGCGAGGTGATTCCCGAAACTCCCACTGGGGACATGGACGACGGGGAAAAAGCGCTGGTCCGTGAGATGTGCAACGTGAGTAATGGACGATTTTAAAATTGTAATTGTCTAATATCCAGACTTTATTTGTTGTCAGGTAGTTTGGCGAAAATTAGAAGAAGGGCCAGCATCATCTCGAAGATGATGATTCTTCAAGAGTACAAAATACGCTCGAATCCATACTTTATTTTAAGCTGTACAAATGTAAGTATGTGGATACATATCCTATGACGTCTTTCCACCATCTTGCCGATCTTGTTGTATTATTGATTCAAAGTATTATTGTTTGTTTAATTTATTTATTTTATAATTGTAGAGTTGATATAATTTGTATACATTTTTATTAAAAGAATTACCTGCAAAAGGCAGCAGGTATATTTTATACAACTGTGGTTTTCTCTATGTTCGTAAGGAATACAAGTAAAAAAGGTAAGTCTGCCATTAATTTGGCAAAGTAAAAAAATATTAGGAAAGGCGTTGCTTCTGTGCCGCAAATTGTCTCTTGCGTGTGCTCGTTGTTTAGTGCATTTTCCAACGAAGTTGGGTGCGCTATTGCAGCCACTTTCTCTGTCCTTCCGTCTGTCCGAGGCCTTAACTACTCTTACAGTTTTCAAGGTAGTTCGTTCTTTTTGCATTCGGTAGCGTATAGCTCTCTGCTCTAGCACCTGATCCAAGGAAAATCTTGACAAACTGCGCAATGGCAACTTTCTTATTTATTAATATATGTATTTTGTTGAAATTTTAACCACAGATACTTCTGGTGAAAGCAAACATATCGCATATAGTAAAATCAAATGTGCGCATGCGCAGATTGCTTAATGGCAACTTTCTTATTTATAGAGATATTTCTTTGAAATTTTTACCAAAGTTACTTTTAGTGTAAGCAAACGTATCGCATACTGTAAACATCACATTAATGAATGTGTACTGTTAGATATCTTTTTGAAATTTTTACCATCGATGCTTCTATAGTAAAGAGAAACATATCACATGTAGTAAAAGTAAAAACAAACATCGCATACCTATAGCATAAATTAAATGTGCGAACTGCGCAACGCCAACTTTTTTGTTTATGGAGATATTTCCTTGAAATTTAAACCAGATATGCCTCTAGTACAGAAAATCACAGCGTACATAGCTATGGCCTTTTGGGAAGTACTGATCAATTTATGGAAAATGCCCTGAAGTTACTCGCCTTAGGGCAAAAACCTTTTTATTCGTTTTGTTGTAATAAGGGTACCTATTTGCGAGCTATTGTAAAAATTCGAATTTGTGCATATTGTATGAATCAGAAAAGTCACGCACAGCCTTACACCATATCGGGAATTCCTCTACTCTGTTCTTTCCTTATTGTCAAAAATTCAGTGAATCATTTGCCAACTGAACAGGGTTGGCTCAGCGCATCCTAAAAGTAGTCATACAGTGACATGACATACAATAAAGTGCTTACAGAATCCTCTTCTGTAGGTACGCTACTGTAAGCTTCCTTTAAATATAAATTTGATGCAACTAACGAATGGTTCAAGAGAGTAGTTAATTATCAATTATTCCATCCTTCAGTTTGTTTCGACTGCATGTTAAAATAAGCCGGAATAATTTTAAAATGTGTACCTGCTTAATAATAAACTTTTTCAAATCAATATAGGCAAGAGTGACAAACACATACAGACGAAAAGCCCACATGACCAAAATTTAATCAGTTAGTCCCTTGATTTGTCTACCTATTACTGAAAACAGAATTGGAAAATTCGAAACCGTTTGCGAGTTACCTTGTACACAGACGGACAGACAGTAAGTCTGGATAACCAAAATTTTTGGATTTGTTTATAATTTTTATCTTCTTAAATACATGTCATATTTAATGGTTCTTCTGCAATAATTGCGCGAGACTGAAGCCAAAGGGCAAACTAGACAGGGTCAAACGGCCTAAGAGTTCATTCTTCTAAGAAATCTTAAGAGTTTATTAGGAATAAAGAGACACTGTGTCCAAGATAAGGATGTCTATCATGGGGATCTCGGAAACCATACATGAGCAACAATGGTTACAGTACATTAGGGAACAGTTGCGCGATGAAAGAGGAATTATCATGCTGTAATCAAAACCAGAAAATTTCGACTACTTCCGAAGATAAGTCCAACACACCGAAATTTGACAATTTTGTTTTTATTTTTTCTTGTTATTTGAACACATACATAAAAATAATACGCATTCTCATTGCAACATTTTGTGCTCTACAAGAAAGAATCATCAACTTTATTTTTTTATATGGTCCGTAAATGTACAGGTACTCTATCAAGTAGCATTTTTTTGTTACGAACATGATGTATGAAACACAAAAAAAATAAAAGTTGGGTTTCAACAAGGTGGTGCACAACGCCCTAATCGTGTGAAAATACCTATCGGACAAATTTCTGCAGTGGAAAATTTTAATTCTAGCATCATGAAAAAAAACCTTAGTGGATTAGGAAACTGCAGTGATGGTATGATTGAGCAATTTTTCACTTGGCTAAAAATAGACACAATGGCATTTTCTAATAAGACTAATAATTATCTATATAGAACACATTTATTTTTATACCAATTAACTGACATTCAATTAGAAATACATAGTGCTGATTGCAGTAGGTATAACATTACATCTAACGCACAACTAGTTAGATACACACAATATAAACCATTTATATAATTTAATATCTGTATCTTCTTCCCCCACTCCTTCTATATCCGTCATAGTCGTCATATCTTCTGGAGGAACGTTGACGCCTCCTCCCGTAGTCACGATCTGAATAATAGTCCCGATCACGATCCCTTCTGGAGTTTCTTCTTGCGCTTCTAGAATCGTAACTAAAAATACTCTAAATCAGGACCATATTAACTCATTATGTGCCCGACAACGAGCCCAGTAATGAACACAAATGGGCCAGTTTTGATTACACCACCAATTTAGCCATTTTGTCATGAAATTACGACCAATGACAATATCCATTTATAACGAGTTACCAAACCATATAAACTAACCCATAAGACCATTAGCCTGATAAACCACAAGTATTAATAAATCGTGATTCCAGCAAGATAATCAAAACTCAACATGCACAATCGCGTTGATTATATAGTACGAATAAGGTAGGCCATCTCAATAAAAGCACTTACTGTCACAGATCCATCTAACTTAACATTGTATTAAAATTTTACACAGCAGAATTCATTTCATTTTAACCTTAACTAGTATCAATATTCGATATTAACAAAGGTAAACTGACATTCATTCTAGTAAACATCTGAGCTTCCTTATCATCTTTAAATTATTGTTAAGGAGGCAATTTAGACAACATTTTTTGCTTTGGTCCACTCTACATACTTACCTGTAAAATAAAAAGAAATAAAACAGCACACCAAAGGGGATGTGTGAGGATTGCAGAGAAAGAAATCAAGGAAGCACAACTTTTGAGAAGAAATATTTAAAACCTTTCCTTAACTTTTGCTGAGAAGCAAACGAAAAAAAGCGCAAATTTTGGAACAAAAATTTTGAACCCTGAATTTGTTAAAAAAAAATTTGTTGTGGTCCTCTCTACCCAAAAAGGAAAATTGTGAACTCGTTTACTTTTTTTTTAATTGTAATCCCTCTCTCACGGAATTCTTGTGGGTGGCAAAGTTGCACACAGATAACATATTTTGAACCCTTAGTTTTTTTGGTTGCTGTGGTCCTATCGCTCAGACAAACAGGTTTTATTTTTATGCTTATAGTTACAAAAGATAAGTTAAAGGGGCACAAATTTTGGGACTAGGCCCGATAATGTCCTTCAGTACCTACATTCCAATTTTATGTTTACAAATGAGCTCTTGTATAATAACATTTTAAACACTACACAAATCCAAACATTCAAAACTGTCTCAGTTCTTGGATCCAAATTACAATTCTGAAAGAAATAAAGCTTCCATACATACTTCTGCCACGGTAGTGGAATCGATTGTCACAACTTACGGATAAGACAATTTAAAGGAGCAAAGCATTCGTATCCATTCTCATGTGTCGGCTAGTGACTTATATACTGAATAGCAAGATCTAAAACCTAACATTCAAATCTTATTAACACATAAATGACAATGCATTTTTTTCTTATTTCCTGTTGATAATCGATCCTTAAACAATATGACAATGGATGATCTATTATAATTCCCTGATCAGCACTTGAAATTGTAAATAGTACTTTTGTGTGCAACATTTTTTCCTATGCGATGGCCTTCTTGTTTGTAGTATACAATCAACGACAATTAAAAATCTTTTTGATTGAAATACAAATTAGTCAGTATCATTACCCTTTACTGTCATCCAAATCGGGACAGTCTCTGTAGAAGTGACCAGCGTAACCACATTGATAGCAACGCATATTCGGGTGGAAAAATCTTCGACCTTGTCCTCTTGTTCGTGGCCTTGCATGTGTGACGCGTATACGACTGCCACCAACATTTCTAAAGCAAACGACAAGTCACACATTAAAAAATAATAACTTGAACAACTTACACGCCATCTGCACCTTTCAAAGCGGCCATCGAACTTTCCTTAGTTTTAAAAACGGCAAAACCAAAAATTGGTGAGCTATGTGTCAGCCATAACTCTTTAAGGTTGCCAAACGGGGCAAAAACTTTTTCCAAATCTGACCTCCGTACATGATCACCGATATCGGCTATGTGTAGTCTGTAGTCATCACGATCCATACTATAGCTACGTGATCTAGATCGTGATTTCGAACCACTAGATTTACTTTCGTTGCTGACGCTTCGTTTCCGTTTCTTCTCGCCATCATCACTAGCTGGAGATTTACTCTCGCTACGACTCGAACGAGGGGATGCCTGGTCTTTATCTCTCATCCTGTTTTGTTCGAGCGTTCAAACTAATAGCCCCCACAAACAAAATGGATTCAACTTTTGCATAAATTAAGGGCAATTAACTGAAATTATTTCTTATCAAACAAATGACAAGGACAGGCTTAAATGACACGTAATTGATTTTACTGCGCCGTTCTAAAAACGTTTAATTAAACCATTTTTTAAACTTCGGGTGAATATTTCAGAAAAAATATTGTTTAAATAAACTTACCCGTCACGTTAGTTATTATTTTCTACAAAAATAATCACAAAATAGATAAATAAATAGCATTAAACAACGCTTCTTTGTACAGCAATACCAACCGTACAACAAATTAAACACTGTTATTGGTAATGGTCATACCAACTTTCTAAAATTGTAATGTACAAGGTGATATAGGACTTTACTCGTAGTATTAGGACTTTGATCATTTGTCATTAAGTAGTGTAAATGAGATACATCCGTTCTTTCATGCACGTTTTGGCTATTTAAATAACAAGACTGACGCCATAAAAAATTTCATTATAAAAATTATGAAAGATAAAAGCTGTCGCCTTTAAATTAGTGCACTTAATACCCTATCCCCACACGGCTGTTTTCTATTATTGGAAGCAGAGCTGCAGGTCCTTATCTCTCTGAAGCTGTACAGTAACTCCGCCGATTTTTTTTAACGGATTGCAGTTTATCTCTTAAGAATTTCATTTTAGCAAAGGGAAAAGTCGCTCGAAGCTAAATCGCGGGAGTACGGACGATGTTGCGGCACAGGAACGTTGTTATATCGGTCACGTAGGTAGGCATTGCTTCACAGATAGCGCGAAGTGAGAAGGGACAAGGGCTTGCTGCAAGCAGGAACCAATCACTTGTATAAACCTTGTATGTTAGGCCATTGATTATACATACGTGTGTATAATCAATGGTTAGGCATTCAAGTGATTTTATGATAACGGTTGGTATGACAGTGAGAAAGTTGGGTTGGAATTGGTATTTATGAAATTTTGCCAGATGACATTTACTGACAGCAATGTGTTGTGTTTACTTTTAATTTTTTTAAGAATTTAAGATTAAATAGCCCATTTATTAGCATAACTTCCTACAATGGGAAACGCTGGTAGTGGAGTTCCAAGAGAAAGACAAAAATCGGGTGAAACTGCACCCTCTTCACCATGTCGCGATGACGCATTTATATTTGATCGAAGGATTGACAACAAACTTACCTATCAAAATTCGCACGAAGACGACGAACCATATTTTACAAAACCTGCACCACAAGATGTATCCTATGAGGCACGTCCTCGTTCTAATACAATTTCGGAAGGTGCTAAAATTAATTTGGACGAGAAGGCGTTGCCGACAGTTTTTCGATGGGAAGGCGGTGGCAGTGAGGTGTACATAAGTGGTACTTTTTCGGGATGGAAGACACTTCCGATGGTGAAAAGCCACGGCGATTTTGTTACCATAATCGATCTTCCTGAAGGGGAACATCAGTATAAGTTTTGCGTGGATGGGGAGTGGAAGCATGATCCCGGTTTGAAAATTATTGACAATGGAATGGGATCAAAGAACAATCTTGTCAGCGTAAAGAAGTCAGATTTTGAAGTTTTTCAAGCTTTAGCTAAGGACAGCGAGTCGAACGCGAGTGATGCACATAAAGAGTACTCTCAAGAAATTCCTATAAACAAACCTTGGGAGAAGGTATCAGGTCCGCCAGTTCTTCCGCCACATTTGTTGCAAGTTATACTTAATAAGGACACGCCCCTATCGGTATAACTCCCATTTAGAAAGTGTAAAATATTTAATGAATTCTTTTTAGTGTGAGCCAACACTTTTGCCTGAGCCGAATCATGTTATGTTAAACCATTTGTACGCACTATCCATCAAAGATGGTGTAATGGTGCTGAGCGCAACACATCGTTATAGGAAGAAATATGTCACTACCCTGCTGTACAAGCCTATTTAGTTGTTATGGAAGTTACATTGTATATAGATTGTATTGTAATATTTATTAGAAATAACGGTTATAAAATGTTTACAAATATTTTAACAAAAAACTTTGTAGTTGTAATCAAGTGTTAACTATTCTGCTCACATAAATACCTAATTTAAACTTTCTTATAAAAGTCTTTATAATTCAAAGCAGTAGCAGTGGCAAATGTGGAAAAGTATTAGTGGCAATGCACTTGATTAGCAATCCTACATTTGGTTCCTGTGCTGTAGAAAAATGTACAGGGTTTTCCAAACGGCGTTTATTCAGTTGTAGAATTCCTTTTTTGTTTTTATTTTAAAGTAAAAGCATGTTTGGTTAAAATTTCAAGGAAATATCTCCATAAATAATACAGTTGGCATTGCGCAGTCTGCGTGCGCACATTTGATTTCACCAAAATATATTTAGTTGATATTGCGCATATTAATCGTCAATATTTTTCCTGGCTCTAGTTATGGCCTCAGATGGACAGAGAAAGGTGGCGGCACAAGCGCACCCAATTGTGAATGTAAACATCCGGAGATACAGTAGAGAGACACCCTGTAGATATTTCGGCACAGAATCTGATTGTGCTTGCTACTTATAGTGAAACTTAATCTATTTAACCAAAATTGTGTCGGTCGCACAGTTTTTTAGATTTTTATGTAAGTGCAAGCGCCCCTTCTATGTTGTTAAGATATGTATAACAATCGAGAAAACAATTTATAGGTATGTACAGGATGCTTCGAAATTTAAGATAACATTCTTTGTTTTGAAGAAGCGGAAATTAAATTTTTTAAATATATACCCTATCACTGCACCAGATAATAGAGATACTTTGCAGTTATATAGTAATATAATCTCACTTTTGGACATCCGCGATGTTATAGATACAAGGTAGTGTGCTAGGGGCAGCCCTGCTATATCTGACACAAATACCATGGATTTAGTGTGGTTAGACGTACGCTTCTTGGTGGCCTATTATTTCCTCTTAAATAAACTTCATGTGTTTCAAGTGGTCTTTCCTTAAATACTGGAGAAAATGAGCCTGCTGCTAGTTCGCGACGGTTAAGGAAAATGCCAGAAAGTTCACTGAATCTTCTTAATTAAAACATCTGTTTTTCTTGGTCTGAACAATTTGTTATTATTATAAATTATTACGCTGTTACTTTTACTCCTTTTAATGAAAAAGCACCTACCTCACTATTTGCAGGTACCGTTTATAAGAATTGTTATTTATGTACACTCAATTATCAGGAAAGCAATGTACGTATAAGTACATAACTCATTTTACAATCTTGCCTTTTATAGTGCCTGCAAATAGTGAGGTAGGTGCAATTTACAAATTGTTCAGAGCAAGAAAAACAGATGATATAATTCAGAAGATTCAGTGAATTTTCTGGCATTTTCCATTTTATTTAACCGTCGCAGCAGGCTCGTTTTCTCCAGTATTTAAGGAACACCACTTCAGTATAAAACAGCTGCATCCTCGTATCAGCACCAGATGTGCATTTCCGTGAAATTAATTAACTTTTGCCTGATAAACACTCCTTATCGCAATAATTTTATACAACTCAAAAGTGGTAAAATTAAAACGAAAACTTACGCATCTAACACATTTCTAAAAGGAAAATCAAATACGAAAATATAAATTCAAGTAAAACAAACCAAGCTGTGTTTCTTCTTAAAAAGAACCCACTCCATTTACCTAATAACATTCTCATATCCAGGGTATCATTATTTTTTGTGTTTAGACCGAAAATAACGCCTACATAACGTGTTTACACAATAGGTATAACCATTTAAACCTACTTGGAGAAAGTAACTGTAATGAACAACAGTATAGGCATAGGACTTTAAGTCTTTATTGTAGATAGAAAATAGATAATTTCATTGATACTGAAGATAATACACTATAGCAATGTTAATCTCAAAATCAAAAACTACGAAGCCTGTCCATCACACTCTGTGTGTTTGGATTTCATGTGCGTCATTAGAGACACCTTTTGAGGGAATGCCATAGGACAGTGTTCACAAATGTATGGTTTCTCATTGGTATGCTGACGAATGTGTGTTTTTAATGCATAAGAACTGGAAAAGCCTTTCCGGCAATATCCACAGATATGTGGCCGTTCTCCTGTATGCACCTGTATATGTCGCTTAATATGCTTTCTGTCATGAAACAGTTTATCACACATTGGACATTTAACCGTTTTTTTCCCATTTACTGAAACACAATTAGTAATGTTGGTGATGAGAGCATTTTACTTACAGCTGTGTCTTTTCATATGGCGATTGTATTCACCTCTGTATTTGTAGGATTTTCCACATAAAGTGCATAGTAATGCAGGACCGTTATGTATTAAAGCATGCGACCGAAGTGATTCAGAGTTTTTGAATACTTTACCACAATCTTTGCAGGTAATAGGATCCTCCATATGGGATTTGATATGTTTGTTTAAATTATCTGTTCTCAGTGATTTACCGCAAATGTTACAAATTCCACGGGCATAATGATTTGTACGTTTGTGATTTTGCCATTTTGAGATCTCAGAACAAACAAAACCACACGGTTTGCATTCATACGATTTTTTTTTGTAAGTGATTATATTCTTAAAGTTCAAATCCCTGACCTGGCGTGGTTTTTTTTTACCTCTTGGTTTGCGGCTAACAATCATAGGAGATACAATTTGCACAGTTTCCTCTATAACATCGTCCGAGGAAGGTGTAGGCATAGTCTCCGGCATAAGTAAAACTGCAGCAAGACGTGATTTCAAGTCCGAATCATTATTAATGATAACTTTACGAAAATTATAAAAAAGGTTGATGTTTCTCAAACATTCTTCGCATATCTTTTTGGGTAACTGATCGTTTTCATCGATCTGTAAAATGACTATTTAAGCAACGTTTGTTTGGCACCATTACTGAACCCTGTATACCGTTACAGACGAGATTGTTTCTATTTTATGAGTAAGCTGTGGATCATCCGATAAAGGGATTAGGTTTTTCGGAATCCTCATGCACGTCCGGCAAAAGTAACTTAACGCACTTAAGTAATCTTCCATTTTATTTTTAATGTTAAACTGAGACTGGAGGTGGTTTAATTAGTCCCAAGAGCAGTTTCATCAATCAAAACAAAATGAACTTTGTTGACAATTGAGCTACATAACCTCCAAGTCAAATCATTAGTTGAATATACAGGATGGTGGAACTATTCCTTCACATACAGGGTGTCCCAAAATGGGTGCGATTTATGTATGAGCATATGGTATGAGTAACTTTGATATTATTGAAGTTTACTGTATAAATTCCGTTTGGAGAATTAAGAAACCTAAAAAACAACCAATTACAAAAAATAAATAAGTACCTATCTATGTCTGTATAACTCGCACAAAAGTACAAAAATGACTTCAAAATGCCAAAACCTAACTAGGAGGATATACTGAAAGGTTTGAAACTACAATTGAAAGCCAACACGATGAAAGTTGAAGAGAAACATAATGCAAGAAACCCGATTCAAAATGCACGAAGTGGAGGCAGAATTTAATGTGTGAAGGGCATTAGGAGGATTAGGTGCTAATAAGAAAAAGGCAGAGTAGGTATATTAAAAATATATATAATTGGTAAATATTATTGATTGAAAAACATGCATAGGATCTCTCTATGTATGCACTGGCATCGAAACAGTGCTCTTAGTGAGAGATTGTCCTTTCCTCCACATTGACGTAATCGTCTTTGTCTGGGTATAGAAATTGAGGCCTTGTTTTCCATAGAAATGCAAATCACCCCAGAAACTACCTCTTGAACCAGTAAAACTAAACATCGGTAAAGGAACAGGAATAGGTACATTAACGCCCACTTGGCCAACATCTATTTCATTGACGAACTGCCTCGCATTGCTTCCACTTGTTGTAAAGATCGCTGTTCCGTTGCCATATGGATTTGAATTTATAATTTCTATCGCCTCCTCCATTGTATCTGCATGCACGATGATGAGCACCGGCCCGAATATTTCTTGCTTATAACAGTCGTAGCTTGGTCTCACATTGCTTAGAATAGTCGGGCCAACAAAGTTGCCTTTTGGATACTTTTCAACGACTACATTTCGACCGTCTAAATCGCATTTGGCTCCTTGCTTAATTCCAGACTCTATTAAGTGGCAGATCCTTTCTTTTGCGACAGGCGAGATTACCGGACCGACGTCGGTTCCTGGTTCATGACCTGCGTTTACTTTCAACTTCTTTGCTCTTGCTACTATATCAGGAATCCATTTTTGGGCTTCGCCCACTAATACTGCGACACTGATGGCCATGCATCTTTGACCGGCGGCTCCAAAAGCAGCCCCACAAAGCTGGTCAATGCTCATCTCCTTATTGGCGTCTGGCAACACAACCGCGTGATTTTTGGCGCCCATGTTCGATTGGACACGTTTGCCATTGGCGCATCCGCGTTGGTAGATATACTGCCCGGCAGTATCCGAACCAACAAAACTGATTGCCTTTATGTCTGGATTATCGCATATGAAGTTGACAGCATCTCGCGAGCCGTGGATGACCTGCAATAAATGTCATGAATTTGCATTAATAGCGAGTATGACCGCTAACATTAACAACACCAGGAGGGCATCCAACTTCATTTAACAATTCCATTAGTAGCATAGTTGCCCCTGGATCCCGTTCGGAAGGCTTTATGATAGATGTATTACCAGCAATCAGTGCCAAAGGAAACATCCATAACGGAATCATTGCGGGAAAATTAAATGGACAAATACCGGCCGTCACTCCTAACGGAAGCTTATACGAGACGCAATCCATATCAGTTGCTATATTTTGTAACGACTCCCCCTGAAGAAGAGAACCTGCTGAGCAGCTATGCTCCACCACCTCTGCAAAGTAACGGATTGGAACAAGATTTCAAAATAGGGTCACTTACGCAATCCTCGCATAACATCTCCTTCCGCATCCGCCAAAGTTTTGCCCTGTTCTAAAGTAATATTTGCCGCCAACTTTTTCATGTCGCGACGAATAACGTGTTGCAGTTTTAACATCAACTGTTGTCGGGTTAAAACGGTCGTACGTTTCCAACTTTGATACGCATTTCTTGCCGATTCAACGGCGGCGTTCATTTCCGACTTGGTGCTTTGAGGAACTCTCGTAACAAGATTGTTGGTCGCCGGATCGTGAAGCTCTATCCATTGCGTCGTTTGAGATTCTTGAAATTTACCATCGATGAAGAGTTTTGTCGTGGGCGCCACATTTGAGTACGAACGCGCACTCTGAAAATGATTGGAGTTTAAAGATATATCTGCGTCTGAGAAATAGAATTTTCTCCGGTCGTGCAAAAACGAATTAGCCCCGGAAATTCATAATTACAGGTAATACGATTTGTAACGGGAACATGTGCATAGGTGTACATTTGATTTTCTTAACTTTTTTTCAATTTTGTATGTGGGCGAGTGGTTCCTGAAATACGGTCCTGATTTTTCAAATGCGGATAAGTGCTTGAGGCGCTGAGAAGTCGTGGGGCAGGACAAAATTAGCTAGAATTACGGAGCGATTTTGCAAAGGTCATATCTGTCGTTATCAAGCTTGCTACACGTTGCGAGGATTATGCCGGATTTCACTCCACGTGGAGTTATGTCATAGCACATATTTAAATATACTATTTAAATCTGTGGTCATAGTGTAAGAATCTTACACTATGGTTATCTGTGCCAGGAAATTTTATTGGCTAAAAAGAATGAATTTTGTTGGTCGCGAAATGGGCGTCAACAAAAAAGTAAAGTAGTGGGAATTATGATATTGGGAGAAAGCAGCGGGGCGATTCGCGCCGAACCGGTTATTTGAAGTATTTTGTATAGAATCATTGAATAATAAATCTGAATTTATTATTCAATGATAGAATCTAATAAGCTGTCATATGATATAACAATATACATGGTGTTCCATATAAAAAAATCACAGGGTTGTTATTATCAGAAAAATGCGTGAAACCGCAGAATGTGCGTGGGTCGGTCTCTAATCGTTAGGACTAGAACATTCACCAGTTGACTAGATCAAATCTCGATTGTGTAATTATTATTAACGATCCTCGAGATTGTTTATAATTGTTGTATTGCTGTTTGTCTGTCCGTCCGTCTGTCCGTGTGCACGATAACTTTGTGTCGAAACGTCAGATCGCTTTGAAAATTGATACACATGTTCTTCAGGATATCAGAAAGGTCGCTATTTTTCGGCTACGTAGACTAACGGGCCAAAAAGTTACAGCCCAAAAACTGTCCAAACCTCCAAACAAAGGGCTTCTTTTATAATTCTTGTTACAAAAAACATATGAATGTCCGGTTTTCTGTGTTAGTAAATAATCCTTAAACCTCCACCAACCATGCAGATGAATTTTAAAAAAATTGCGCCAACTTTTGTATTTGCGCAATCCCATTTTTTTTATTTGTTAACATATTTAAATGAAGTTTTTCCGCAAACGTAAAAAAATGACGACTTTATTAACGTCAGTTCTTAATGTTGAAGTTTGATTTCACAGACTTCACTTTTTTCTCCGGCCGTGAGCGTACAAAAAAGTACTTTTTTCTACGCTCACGGCCGGAGAAAAAAGTGACATGACAGAAAGTAAACATCATCAGGTAGTTGAATTTTGGAAATTTATTAGCGATAATTACATATTAATTGTGATATTACAATTATTTAAACTTGCACCGCACAAATTTAACACACTTCCTGATTTATTGACTTCTAATTCAATACCATTTTGTGTAGAGTTGAATGAGTTAGCCAATAACATTTCCTTTGACTTCTTACTCGTTTCAACATCTGTTAAATCAACGTCCACCGAATTTGGCTCATCAGAAGCTGCATTCAGGCCCAATGACGAAGAATTTGGAATTAAGATTAAGCTAGTAGCACATTTCCAGAATAGTTTGTAATGTTTTTCTCATTGCACCATGTGAGAAATCTTTCATAAGCATGATTATAATCTCTACTTGACTTCGTTGGAATTAAATCGTTCGTAGCTGTCTTGGCAATTGCAAGAACGTCTGACGGCGTACAGTTAAGTTCGGAATCCGACATAATATGTAACGTGCAAGAAAAATTGGTCAATATCTTTTACTACTTTACTCGATACTCGGGTACTTACCAAAAACGCACAGTTCAAATTGGCTTTGAATGTTCCTGATAATTAATTTGTTGAATTGTCAAAATTTTCTTTCACCATAACAACCGCAACCCACAGCAATCTAGTTTTAAATTTTTCAACATTTAACAGCTGATGCGCTGCAATCTTTTTGGGAATACTCCCTTAATTCTATCGTTTGAACAGCGTTTGCGGAAAAAATTTTATGTTTTATTCGGAGCAAAAGCACTTTTTGTGGCGCGTCTGAAATTGTCGGCCTCACTACGTTCGGCCGTCAAACGTTCAGACTTGCCACAAAAAGTTACACTTTTACTCCTTATAAAACAATATACTATTTGTATGTACGTGCTTCGAAAAAAAGTAAAACTAATGCTGAATCAAAAAATTTTGTTTTACAATTAGCTATGCTGATCTGGTGGGATAGAATTGTAAAAAATGATGTATGTGTGAAGATCTCGAGGATGAGGATCGTTCGGTATTCATCAGTTGTATCGGATTTATTACGAGGGTAATAATTACGCGGCGTGATTCATCTTCTGGAATAAAGCAGTCCAGGATGGTGGAATAATACTGCACAGTTTTTGCTTGACTTTGGAAGCGTACACAAGATGTTAATAGTTAATATAGACATTACATTACCAAAAATGGTTAAGTTTAGATCGATATGCCAAATTTAGACAGCTTTTAGTTAATAATAGCGGTGGAGCCATGGTATTTATTGTTGCAGTATATGCACCAAACGGCAAACCTGGAAGTCGAAGGATATATATTTTGGCAATAGACTTCCAGAGAGTCCGAGGAATTTTTGTTTATCATGTTCGTTTATTTTTGACTATTCATTTGGCATTTGCATACTATTAATAATAAATGCACAATTTACAATGTTATAATATGTTAATGAATATTGCCCTGTACTGACCTATGCAACATTGTTCAGGTGTAAAATGAATTCGAGCTGCTCGATTAAATTTCTTCATATTTGCACCGTATGTGAATTAAATAACATACACCTAGGTACCTATGTAATAAAGGCATTTTACTATGATAAATGTACCTACGCACACACGAGTAGTTTTTTTTTAATTTTAAAATTTACGAAAATTTCATTCGCTATTGATGTGTTTTGGCTAGCCATAATACCTACAGTTAGTCAAATATTTGAATTATTACGAAAGGTGATAAATTCGCATATTTCACGTGCGTATGGCGAATAATCTTGCCCAACAAATTTACGGTGCCACTAGGATTAAACTAATAATAGCCACACCAAGGTCAATAACAAACTTCAATAATTGAAATCACGTGGACATCTACGACAGGTACAGTAATCATAGGCGTATTATAATTGACCTACCTACTACATCTACAGATTTAGGTACAATTGCAAAAGGAAATGGGGATTGTTTCATAATTTGTTTACTTACAATGACCCGAACTGCAGACAGCATAGTTAGAACAACACTTTATAAAAAGGTGGGAGACGGCGGACAGGTCAGAGCAAATTTAAACTGCCTGAGTGGGACTTCCTTATATCCCCACACGTTTATCAATAAAATTTATACGGCGAAATGCAAAGTAATCGTGTAATATGGTAAATAGGGCCCCTTCCTTGATTTAATAAAGGTAATTATTAGAACAAGCCTTTATGAATGGCTTATTCCATTAAAACGCACTCGACGACAGCATTTTATTGATTGGTTTCTTCCGAGCACCAAAATGCCATGCTTTCACTAATTCACGTTTTTGTTTTGTTTTGGTAGCGTAATAATTAGCCGATTAATTCACATTGTTGGCAGCCTTTATTATTTTTTAAAATATTGATTGAATATTCAGTTAATTTAGTGGTAATTGTATAGATGTCTCTACGAACATGCAATGCGTCACTCATTTGTTTGATAGTCAACACACGTTACATATTTAGACTTAGAATTGCATACAACTTAGGGCCGCTATGTCATGTTATCGATAAAGCTATCTGGCAGTTCATTTCTATATTGAAACAAAATGTATTCACAATGAACTAAAATAAAATTCATAAGTACCTATGTAAAGTTGCCTAATTGAGATTGCGAAATAAAGCAGGTTGAAAGTAAAAAAAACAATATTTTGCATTCTATACTCTGTTTTTTAACTAGGAAGACGGATTTAAAAACCTGATTTACACTGAAAATGTCACTAGAATCTAGTAACAAAAATAATAGACTCATTTTATACAGATATGTATTGTGGGTTGCGTGATGTGATTTTCTTTCACATTTGGTTAGATTTCATTATTTATGGTTTTGAGTTATTACTTGGTAGGAACTCCTTTATATTATGCATACATCTTACTTTTAAAAGCGAATTATAATAAATAGGTAATACATTGATAATAGGTAATCATTCTGCATACATTTTTTGGCCTTTGAAACATTATTTTGAATTGTAGTTTTAAATGCTTTATCAGTTGTAATACTACACAATCCACATTACAATTTACAACAAATGTTAAGTTATTGAACAAATTCAGAACAATGGAATTATACTCATATTATTAGACAGCACAGTTCACTGCTTTATGTATAAGAGATTTAGTCAATGTCTTCCGAGAGTTCACTAGAACTGTCACTGTCCTTCGATCCGAGTGAAATAATTAAGGGTTCTATAAGTGTATCCATTAGGCCATCCAATCTACACATTTTATTTTCTTCCTTAATAACGTGTTGCACGCAATTCCGCCAATTGTCAGAGCTCACATTTGCAACAGCGTTATGACCACCGGAACGTTTCGAAGGGGTAACAATCCCAGTACTTCGATATTCTTTAATTATCCGGTATACTGTAGATCGTGCAACTCCTAATATGTGTCATACTTTAACAACCAAATATATGCCTACATCATTATTTACGTTACCTGTGGTAGATGCAATCTTCAACACAAGGGTAGCAAAATTCATATCCGGAATATCAGACAACATTTGTTTATAATAAACTGCTTCTCGAAGACTGATAAAATGACCCAAGTTTAAGCGATTACGTTTTTTCAAAGGAGACAAGCTTGCTTTACTGGTACTTGGAGTTGAATCCATCACTAATACCAGTATACTTAGGACGCGAAATATCAACTTTTGTTCTTAAAAGAACTGTTTTTTTTGTTAAAATTTATGCAAATGGACTCAGAACACACAAAAACTCAAAAATAAGTACAACAGTTCCGGACGAGAATCGCGATTAAATTTGACAGTTAAATCATGTCAATAGCAATTTTACCTGTGTGTAAAACGGGCGCAGCGGGAGCCAATAGAAACTAAAGATTTTTGCGGGAACTTTTAAATCCTTCTTCCTAGTTAAAAAACAGAGTATAGTAGGTATGTAGTCACCAATGACTTGTTTTAATTTTTTATTTTAGTTAACATAAAATAATTAAACCAGGTTATGGGCTCAGACGTTTTCTTTTTAAAATACAATAATTAAAACAGGTTATGGGCCCAGACGTTTTTGTCTAAAATACAATAATTAAAACATAAAGGCTGTGTGCGTTAAAAAAAACTCTTCGTGTTAAAAATAAAAAAGGATAATTTTTTTTTAAAAGGGCGTCATCGTCGATAATGGGAATGGAAGATGTTACTCTAATAGATAAATTAACGGGAGGTGAAACATTCCAAGTATGGAAATTGCAGACAAGCATACAGCTGTTTAAAGCCAACGAAATCGTAAATGGCAACAAAAAGTTTACAGACCTAACAAAGGATAATGACAAAGAAATATGGGTTAAAAAAAACGCGCATCATAAACATGTTTGAAAAATTATGCACTATTTTTCAAAAGGACAGTGAACAACAAAAATGTAACGTGCTACAGGAATTCTTCAACTATAAATATGAAAAAGACTCGGACATGTCGCTGCATATTAGTAAAATGGAAAACTTTGTATTCCGGTTAAAATCGACCTAAATGACGAGATGCTGATGTCTAAAATATTGTCGACACTCCCGGAACACTATAAACATTTCGCAACTGCTTGGGAATCAACTCCTGTGCAGAAGAATCGCGAATGAAGAAAGACTCTGAAGAAAATGTGGCATTCAAAGCTGTGGAGAAACGTACAAAGAATGCAACACCCGTGAGGAAACATTACACCGAGAAGATCTGCTACTCGTGCAGAAAATCAGGCCATTTTTCAAAAGATTGTAGATCAAAAACGAAGCAGTGTAAAATATGCAAGAAAACTAATCGCAGGGAAGAAAATTGTTTCTTTCGAAAAAAGGAAGAACCAGAAGACGAAAAGGAGGGAAAAGTGGCATTCTTAACAACTGGTGATCTCAACGTCAGTAACACCTTCGTGGTGGACTCTGGTGCATCTTCACACATGTCTAACGATAAGAGGATATTCAAAAACAGAAGAAATACAAAGTGAAATCTCTGTGGCAGAGAAAAATCAAACAATTGAAGCACAAGGCAAAGGGACAATTGTCGGCGAAGCTTGTGTGTGAAACAATGTGTTGTTGTACGTACCAGAAATAAGAAGAACTTGCTGTCTGTTAGTGCAATAACTGAGAATTGTGGAAATGTGACTTTTGCAAAGGACAAAGTACTAATAACTAAGCTTAATAAAGTTGTGCTCGAAGGCAGTAAACAAGAAAATGGTTTATATACGGTAAAGCTGTCGTCAACCTCAGATGTCAAAAGTATGCTGGCAGAAAACAACGTTAAGGTACAAGATTGGCATAGAAAATTAGGTCATCTAAGTGGGGCACCAATGAAAGAATCGATTGATGTTTCCAACAACATGAATCTTTCCAAAAAATGAATGTAAGGAATTGGAAAACCAAAAGGTATACCAAATATGTCTAAAACCTAAACAAATAAAGACAATACCATTTGATATAAATAAGATATCGAGCAAAGACCGCTGGAAATATCTGCATGCGATGTGTGGCGAGCCAATTGATCTAATTATAATTGGTCGGAAAGAAATATTTTTAAACTATACTGGACGACTTACACTCCTTACTTACATAAAACAGTTTGTGGAAGAAGCGGAAGCTCTTCATAACCTCAGAGTGTCTAAAATAAGGTGTGACAATGGTGATGAATTTAAAAATGAAAATATAAAAACATGGTGTATAAAAAAGGGAATAATTCTGGATTACACAATTCCTCACTCGCCTCAACTGAATGGAAAAGCGGAGCGATTAAACAGAACAATCATGGAAAAAGCTAGGGCGTTAGTATTTGACTCGCAGCTAACCAAGGAATATTGGGGTGAAGCAATAAGAACAGCTACATATCTACTTAATAGAACACCTACCACTTCCTGTGTGACTAAAGTAACACCTATTGAAAATTGGACCGGTNTGTGTAAAACGGGCGCAGCGGGAGCCAATAGAAACTAAAGATTTTTGCGGGAACTTTTAAATCCTTCTTCCTAGTTAAAAAACAGAGTATAGTAGGTATGTAGTCACCAATGACTTGTTTTAATTTTTTATTTTAGTTAACATAAAATAATTAAACCAGGTTATGGGCTCAGACGTTTTCTTTTTAAAATACAATAATTAAAACAGGTTATGGGCCCAGACGTTTTTGTCTAAAATACAATAATTAAAACATAAAGGCTGTGTGCGTTAAAAAAAACTCTTCGTGTTAAAAATAAAAAAGGATAATTTTTTTTTAAAAGGGCGTCATCGTCGATAATGGGAATGGAAGATGTTACTCTAATAGATAAATTAACGGGAGGTGAAACATTCCAAGTATGGAAATTGCAGACAAGCATACAGCTGTTTAAAGCCAACGAAATCGTAAATGGCAACAAAAAGTTTACAGACCTAACAAAGGATAATGACAAAGAAATATGGGTTAAAAAAAACGCGCATCATAAACATGTTTGAAAAATTATGCACTATTTTTCAAAAGGACAGTGAACAACAAAAATGTAACGTGCTACAGGAATTCTTCAACTATAAATATGAAAAAGACTCGGACATGTCGCTGCATATTAGTAAAATGGAAAACTTTGTATTCCGGTTAAAATCGACCTAAATGACGAGATGCTGATGTCTAAAATATTGTCGACACTCCCGGAACACTATAAACATTTCGCAACTGCTTGGGAATCAACTCCTGTGCAGAAGAATCGCGAATGAAGAAAGACTCTGAAGAAAATGTGGCATTCAAAGCTGTGGAGAAACGTACAAAGAATGCAACACCCGTGAGGAAACATTACACCGAGAAGATCTGCTACTCGTGCAGAAAATCAGGCCATTTTTCAAAAGATTGTAGATCAAAAACGAAGCAGTGTAAAATATGCAAGAAAACTAATCGCAGGGAAGAAAATTGTTTCTTTCGAAAAAAGGAAGAACCAGAAGACGAAAAGGAGGGAAAAGTGGCATTCTTAACAACTGGTGATCTCAACGTCAGTAACACCTTCGTGGTGGACTCTGGTGCATCTTCACACATGTCTAACGATAAGAGGATATTCAAAAACAGAAGAAATACAAAGTGAAATCTCTGTGGCAGAGAAAAATCAAACAATTGAAGCACAAGGCAAAGGGACAATTGTCGGCGAAGCTTGTGTGTGAAACAATGTGTTGTTGTACGTACCAGAAATAAGAAGAACTTGCTGTCTGTTAGTGCAATAACTGAGAATTGTGGAAATGTGACTTTTGCAAAGGACAAAGTACTAATAACTAAGCTTAATAAAGTTGTGCTCGAAGGCAGTAAACAAGAAAATGGTTTATATACGGTAAAGCTGTCGTCAACCTCAGATGTCAAAAGTATGCTGGCAGAAAACAACGTTAAGGTACAAGATTGGCATAGAAAATTAGGTCATCTAAGTGGGGCACCAATGAAAGAATCGATTGATGTTTCCAACAACATGAATCTTTCCAAAAAATGAATGTAAGGAATTGGAAAACCAAAAGGTATACCAAATATGTCTAAAACCTAAACAAATAAGACGTATTGTTTTTAATAGCAACCACTATTTTTATTACATATAAGATGTATACACAATGATATTATACCTATCTATTATATGCTGCTATATGTATATGTAGTTAAAAATGTTATGAAAACTACATAGTAGTTGCAGCTTTGAATATAATTTTATATTCAAAGGTTACAGTTATTACCTTCTAAACTAAGCAAAAGGACAACAAAGGTAATTGTGGTTCGGTAATACCGCAAATCACTTTGCTCTTAGGAAAGTACAGGTGTAAGTGAACGAGTTATCAGTTTACTCCAAATATGAAATGAAATGATTTCAATTATTCTCAAAAATTTGATTTCTAAACTCCTAAGTGTATGCAGTATGTATACAGTAAGAAAAAATGTCCCCCTGGAGTCCCTACTGACCACAAATTTAAAGTACATAAATTGGTAGTGAACCACCCTGTATAAATAAAAATAATGGCAACTTGAAATATATAATATCGCAACTTTTCAAATGTAATGGGAGAATTCTTACATCCAAAGGGCATATTCAGTTGAGTTGCAAATTTTTCCCGTGAAATGCGCTTTTTGTTTCGAGTGTATCCTTCTGATAAAAGACAAGCATGTCCTCAAATGTTTACTGACGGTGGTTTAAAAAAAACGGATAATTCATCAATAAAAAGTAAAATAAATTCGATTTTATTAAATAAACTATTTACAAAAAATATACAGCATATGACCCTTAATATAAGGACAATCTTACACAATGTACAATAAATAAACTAATACTACGTTTGAACACTTTGTACTTTTATTGTTTTTTTAAAAACATTGTTCGGACGATCATACCTTAGGGTTTGGACTTACAACATTTTTCAAAAACACCACTGACATTATAGACTTACTGTTTTGTTGTACTGGGGAGGAGGAATCATAACTGCTTCCCACTCTACATTTTACTGTATCAAAGTATGCCTGCCGGTATTGCTTGTTCATGGTGACGTAAATTACTGGATTTAAACAAGCGGCCAAATATAGTAAAATATATGCTACTATAAGTAAAGGTGGACTTTTGAGATTTGGATCAAATACTTTTGCTATAGTTAACGGTAGGTAACATACTGTAAAGCACAAGAATATTACCAAAAACATTTTGGTAATTCTCATATCGCTTCTTTTGGTGTTTAGTGTAGATCCGTGCTTGTTGAGCCTTTTATGTGACGTTCTCACGACCCAATAGATTTTTGAGTATGAGACAACAATAATAATGGCGGGCAATACGAAACCAATTATAAAAAGTGCCGTCTTCGCACTACGTCCATTTTTATCCTTGCATATCGAGCACGTGCCCAACTTCTCGTCAAAACCAAAAACTCCCCACACGCCAAATATCGTGGGTATTTGCAATCCGTAGCTGAACGCCCAAATTATGCCGATGTACAGGGAGACTTTTAATTTCGTGAACACCTTCGGATAAAGATTGGGCCACGCGATTAGAATGTAGCGATTTATTGAAATCGTTGCTATACTCAGTAAGGAAACACCCACGCTTCCGTATCGCAGCATCGGTATTAAGGTGCAGAGGAAACGTCCGTGAGTCCATGTTCCCACAAAGAATTGATGCGCTCCGAAGGGCAGGACGATTATGCAAATGAGAAAGTCGGATATGCACAAGCTGTAATAAAAACATTTCGAATTAGCTTTATTATGTTATTGTTACCTACCATACGTTCTATGGAAAATCCTTAAAAATAAGCAAGTAGTATATATTTTTGTACTTTGATAATTCCAGTCACTGGGATTCTAGTGTTGATAACATAATACGCACCTCACAATCTCTAAACCAAAGGAAATACGTTTCGATCCAGGAAATGAATCAGTGAAATAAAAGTTACAATTACCCAATTTAAAGGACACAGGAACTTGCCATTCAAAAGTGAGGAAGAGACTGGCATAGGTATCAATCAGTATTCAAAGTTACAGTGTAAAGTGACATGGAACCCCATAGCGTATTAGGAAGAAACTCACCTTGCAATAAAAGCAGCTGCCACCGTTCGCATTTTGGAATTTCTTAATAACGCAATGATTGTTAACGAGTTTCCTATGACACCAATAATTGTTGTTATGACGGTGATAACTCCTGCTGCGGTTAAGAGCGGCGGGGAATAACTAGAAAGAAAAAAACACTAAATAAAGTGCAATGTCATATTTTTGCCAAAGTTTTGAACTAGCCCCTTTTTACACGACCATGGCTTCGCGTTCATGTTTGCAAATGTTGGTGTTTGGGCCACAATTTAAAAACGCGTAACCATGTTTTATCAGAAGGGTAACTAAGTATTTCATACAAGTCGCAGTCATCCACACTAAAAGGCAAATCGTTTTAAATTGCATAATAGGTATGTAATGCTGAGAGTGTTAAGCCAACTCATAATAAAGAAAAGAAACTCACTTTACAATTGACATTTTGGAAATCTACTAAATTTTTGAAGGAAAGCTTAGAGAAGAACTAAATCTGTCTGTTCTTGCACAACACTTCAGACACTTACTAAATCCACTTTCAAGGAAAAATATGGTTTTTGGTTGTGCTTGTGCTTACAAATATTTACCGCAAACTTCCTATGTTGTGCGCTCACTCATCTGAGAACTATTCACTGTATAGTGATTCACCAGATAAAGGTTGATATTGATTAATCGAATTAATCGGTTTCATAGTAAATTCGTTAATTAAGCATTCCATACGATTGCATTTGCCGCGGTTCAAGGACCTGTTATTGCTTTATGTTGGCACAAACGGATCGTTTTAAATTGAATGATTCATTCCCAATTATTTAATGCAGTGCAACGCCATAAACGCTTTAGAAGCACGCTTTTTGATATTAAAGAAGTGGGGAAGTGAATACTAAATTAAAGATTCCGACTCTGCATTGGATAAAAACCCACTTTTCAGTATTTTCCAGTTTGAACAATGCAATGCCAGTTCTACAATGGGAGTGTTTCTTAAACTGGGCCTAATTTAAAACTGTATACCTTATTCTCTAATTTTCAAACACCTAGGCAAGTGTTGAAACGGTTGTAGGAAGATTCGCTCCACGAAGTTTGCCCCTGTAAATTAGCCGCCGGAATATTCACTCTCATGAAAACTCGCCCCCGGGATATTCGCCCAATTGGAATTCGTTCCCCCCGAAACACTCCTTCAGTGCATGTTTATTGCACTATATTGTATTTTAGGTACAATGAGACTTTCGATTGTATGGATTAGGTAAGCAATGCTACAATACTCATACAGGTCTTACGACAGCTGGAGTATCTTCGCGACAGTGACGTGTAGGTCATGTACTTAGTTTTAATGGTATTCTTCGCTTTATTATAAATTGTATTGCTTTCAGCGGCTTGTAACTGCGGGTAGGTGACCCTTGGTGGTTATTTGTAATTTTCACAAGATTTATTTTCTTTTGATTTGTTTGAGATTGGCCAATGTTGATTTCATGCTCATTTAATTGATTGTGGCTTCAATGCTTCGTGTATGAATCTGCCTTTTTTTAACGTAACTACCTTATTATTTTTGCCCGTGCCGAGGTACATTCCGAAGCTACAAAATTACTGAGCGGCATTCATCTGGAAATACAACTTTAGTCTAAGAGTTACCGTATCAAGGACCTAAGATACATACTGGACTGGAGAAGGTTCGGCTAACAAACTAATTGAATTTCATATCCTTGATGCAAGAGGCTTCGGGATGTTTCACAATTTAGATGTCGCGATTTTATCACACTTTTGATCTCTAGTTCTTTTTCGTTGCAACAAAACTTTCGTGTAAAAATAAAATTTTCCGATTAAAAATCAAGCTCTTGTGTATTTACCACCGATAAAATGCTAAATCTTAAAATTTCATCTTTGGGCATCAGTTAACTTGCAAAATGATGGAACAAAAACAATGCGATGTAAGAACTAAGAACTGCATGTAAATATCTTCGAAGAGGAAGGAATAAACAAATCTAAATCAAATCAAATCTACAGCAGGATCTACCGTTAGGGATTTATTTTTGCAATGTATCTGCAAATTGTCCCATTTAGAGTAATTAAGCTTACCACGTAAGGAGGCGTGTTTTTTTCCTATGGTGTACGTTATTGTCTCGTCTCGTTCATAGTACAAAATTCATTCAACACATTATTTTTAGTGCAGAGTACATTAATTGAACATCTGTTTTAATAATGAAAGAAATTAAGCCAACAGCAAATGTTAAATGCAGCCAATTATGTGTAAAACTGCATTGTGAGATCGTAAGAAAAAAAACCAAATTAAAAGTTCTTGCAAATTTTGTTCTTTAGCAAACAGCACGCATGTCTTCGAGTACAGAAATTTTCGTGATTGTGCGTGAGAATAGAATAAGGTATCGCATTAAAAATAGTTCTGAAAAGTCATTGCAAAAGGAAACTTTTGCGATTACCATTAAAAAAACAAATTCACAGTCTACGAGAGTGTACCAGATGTGTGTTCTGTAGCTGAAAACCTGGGCTAAAAGGCACAACGAAACAGGCCAAAGATACATCTTGATTTGCACTTATAAAGTTAGGATTCTAAACAGTCTTTGCGACTTCTGAAGTCTTCATAAAACACGAGTTGAGAATTTAACATATGTTTCATTTGACGTAGGCCACTAGCACACCCCTTATTTTCGTGTCGCTTTTCGCTAGAATTTTGTCACTTGCGCTACGCGGCGGCCGGCGTGCAATATCACCCAATGCAAATTACTTATAACTAATTATTGTACCTTTCTCGTATAGGTTATTTAAATATTGTCATAACATAATGCCTATTTATAACCAGCAGTGTGTACATAATCACATCCATTTCATTGGATTAATTTGTTTAACGTGACCGTTTCGTTTGTTCGTAAGTACATAAGCATTAGTTTTATCAACGACTATTAATATGACATTTTCTCTTATCTCGACAAAGTGTAAAATAGTGAAAACCTCTCTTTTCTTCGCAAAATCTGACAACTTTATAAGGGTACAAACATTATTGCTCTTAATAACGTATTTGTGAAATTTACAGTAGACAAATTTTGTTGGGACCACATAAAAAACATAGCACGCGAGGTAGACGAAAAGAATTAATTTTGGCGAAAAAAATTGTGTCTGCGTAAAGACATTTCCATTTGTCAAGATATTTAAAACAAAACTGCAGATACTATTAATAAATAGCTATAGAGGCCTTTTCAATAATTGGTGTGCGTATGTGTGCATATGTTGCGGATGCGGAGCAAACTTGAATAAAAAGTCATGATGAGTGCACGCTTTAGTCACTTGCGCGAGTGCAACAGCTTTATCACTTGTTACGAAACGCAAGCAAATCTGATCCAATTTAGGTTCAGACCCCTATACACAGCTAACGTAAGATTAAAAAAAATTAAAACCCCACCCGCATTCCTGCGTATACGTGATTCTGCCCTTTTATGTCTAAGAATATGTGTAGGTACCAAATTTGATTCCAATTTGTTCAGTTTAGCCCGAAATGGGAGTACGACGGACCGACAGACAGCCAATACCTACCTACCATAGAGATTTTGTTTGATTCAAAACGTGTAATTCCGTAAAAAGGTGGGGGTTCATTTTTTACCCCAATCAATACCTCTTCGAAAATGCGAAAATCACTATAAATATAAGACAAAAATATAGTCAAAAAATGGAGTTTTAAGGTGGATTATATGTATTCCACTGTAGGTAATAAGCTCCAAGTTAAAAATGTGTTTCATAATGTTTGTATATAATATACCAATGGTCACAATCAGTTTATAATAAATCAAGTTCCATACTATTCCATAATATTGTCAAACTAGTAGGTACGTATTGTAGATTGTAGCCATCGAAGCGCCATCAAGTCAATACGGATTAGTCATCTGCAATAAGGAAGGCAAACGGACGCAACTCATCTGCTTTCTGTGAAATATAAAATGCCTTTTACAGTTGTTTAAACACTTGATTGTTTCATATATATGCAAATTGAATTGTGTTCAGTTCCAACATCGATGTCGGAGTGATTAACGGTGAAATTCGGTTGTGTTATGAACTTGTGTACAAATAAGGGATAAATCATAATTAACTTTTATGAATCAATCTATTTACTTCAATCCCCTTTATCAAACCATCGGCACTGAGGATTTCAAAAATGTTGTCAATTATTCGAAATATTGTCAATAACATTTCTCATGTATGGTCCGCTTTAAAGCTCATTCTGTAACACATGGTGTTTTAATAAGTGCCTCTGAAGATCTACTGCAAAACATTCCAGGACTCTAGGACCATTCTCCTAGAAGTCGTTCATAACGGTAGAAGTGGGTTCGGACGGACGGACCGAGAAAACACTAGCACATTTTTTTTAGTTCTTAAAAAATGCACTAAAAACCTAACAAAAAAGAAACTTAAGGCGTTAAGAACGAATTGAACGCAAAGTTTGAGGCGATAATAAGAACTTCATAGGTATTCTACTGAGATGTACTTGAGATGAATTTGAAAGGAACATAAGAAGCACTTAAGAATAATTTGAAAAGAATTTCATAGGAGTTTAAGCGCCACTTGAGAGGTTCCACCTTGTATATACAACCTACCATGATGCACATATTTTTTAAGAGCTAAACCACGAACGCTTGTTACGTTGGGCATCTTGTTTTTAATACCGGTTGAGAAAGCATCGTTCTGTTTACTTTGTTTTTTTTGTGTTATTTAATTCAGAGAGTAATCTTTGCATTCCTTTAAAATGTATCTTTGTTTTTGAAGTTCACTTGATTTAGCCGCAATGCAGAATCATGTGTTTGATAATGTTTTTCGATTCAAAATTTGAAAAATGACATTAAAATAAATTGGATTCCTCAACAGAATACGTTTATACGCTAGTTTTAACCAATATAAAGAGAAAAGTGCGGTGACAGACGTTTACTAACCATCGCCACAAAATCTGTAGTTATCTTTCGATCTATAAGCATTCCGCACGATGTTTTCACAAACCCTAACAACTTTAGTGCTCTATTAACAGTAAGTAATATTGACGTGATCAGTAAATGCAAGTGCACAATAAAAATGTTGTAGATCTTTAAATTAATATCACACTTTCGAGTACTTTCTGCCCTAGACAGTAATTGAATTTAATTGAACTTTTTATCGGGAAAACCTTATGAATTTGCATTTAACTCCATTTAAATTAATTTACACCATTTCTCCAAGTATCAGTATCAAGTATGAGAAAGTTTAAAATTTGAATTTTCGAAATATATCTAAAAGCAAAAAGGCACGACCCTGAGCATAAATACACAACAAAGTCCAATAGAAAAAAAATTGGTTCAACGGACCTCCTGGGGCTAATCCGTCTCAGTGGTATATAGAGCTGCGGTGAATTCTTGAACGGATAAATAGGTATGTATAACCTGCGTTCAAGTAAAGCAGGACATTGTTACCTATAACTCCAAAGAGTTTCTATATGTTGGAGAACAAGCACAGTTTTTATGGTTATGGGGGTAAAAGGGCTCAATTAGAAGATTTTTAAAATAATAGATCTTGGATTTTGCAAGGGAACTTCTGTGATTGTAATTAATTTGTAATTAGGCTTACAAACTAATCGTTGACAAATGAAATTAATTTACAGTTGGTACATTTAGTGTAGGGCTCTCCTAATAGTCCTAATAGGTATGTACTCCTAATTATAGAAAGTTTGCTAAGATATGAACTTGCAGTTTAGAATAACGTATTCCTTACGTTTTAGAATTTTCAGGTAAAAATGCAAATTATTTCTTTTGGTCCCTTCTTTCAAACAGGGCCTTTTGTATGTATTTATATAGGCATTCTTGAGAGGAACCCAGTGGGGATGAATTGGTAAGGAGAGCTGCTCAACTGCCGAATACTAAACTATCCCCCACTGTAAATGACATAAACAACAGTATTTTAAACGACGCACGTGGTTACACTTTTCGCATAGGTAGTTTTTGTTATGTATAAGCGTCATAAAACCATCAAAATAAAAATATTCATTCAGCAGTCAGCAGAATACATAATTGATGCATGTTTCATAACAAACTCCATAATAAAATAATTATTTGTGATGAATCCACAAAAATCAAAAGTGGGCAACTTCCATAAGCTATCAATCAGATTTCTTGGGTTTAGGTATAGAGGTACCTATAGCCACTAAAGCTCCGTTTATCTGTGCTATAGCTATTGGAAATTTTAGATGTAATTCTAATGAGATAACGTCATAAGAACGGAACTTCAGAAACGTGACTAAACTAAAGTTTGAAGTGTTTTTAAATAATTTATAGGAAAAACGCGGTAAAAGCAAGATTTGTATAAGTAGGTATTATTAATGTTAGTTTTTTCATTTAAGTGAGTCATGCGTAATTAAACGTTTGATGTTATATTAAAATTTATAATCTAAATTAACTCGGAAGTCGACGAACAGGAATTTTTACATTAAATGACACTTGATTTGATTAACATACTTTGACTAATAAATAAAACAAATTTAAAATAGAGGACATAATTTTAGCGGACGTAACGAAATTCAAAACTCGGAGCCACACATGCACTGCATATGTCACACACACACATAAAACAAACGCATCTTAACCATGCTCTCACATGCCGTTAGCGGGAATATAAAAAATTTTAAAATTTAACATACCTCAGAAGAACCGAATAATCGTTGGGCACCGACGAATTTACCGCCATTGCACTTCAATTGCGCTCACAATAAATAACACACGAAACTTACTCGAATAATATACGATAGAATTATATATAGGGACGCACCCTAAGGCAGGATGGTAGAAAAATTAATTTTAATTGAAGCTAATAATCGTAATGGTGACAGCGAGCTGTGCAGAGCTAAACACAAGAATGACTGAATTAACCAAAGTTTGTAAACCCGCATTGTTAGTCACTTTGTTATTAATCACACCATTTATTGGAAACTACTCCCGCAACTGCTTTTTTTTACCTAAGATTGTGGAAATTTATCGTACAGTAGGTATATACCTACCGCAAAATTATTACGTGCGGGACAAAGTATATCGGTAAGGTTGCGCAAAATCCTTGACATAATCAGAATCGTTTGTGCTATTTGCAATCATAGAACCGATTCTGATAGTGATGATGACCCATAACTAAATGGATATAATTGCGGTATTTACATTGTTACGTAGCGTGCCATTGTAATTATTTAGGTAACTGATTTGAGGTGCTTGAAAACTTTAATTTTGAATATGACACAGATTTTGTTCCTCAAACTGACTCACTCATTAGTTGTTATTTTAATGCGATTTCAGTGATAGAAAAACTCATTAACATGCAATACGTGTTTAAGATTGTTCATTTCAATGTCAATGGCGAATTTCAATACATAACGCTATCTTTTTTGTTATGCCTTTTCCTGTTGCTGTTCGAATCGTACCTACTAACTGGCGTATTGACGCACAATAATCCAATTTGTACAATAAAACTGTTCCTGCCAAGACGTACAAAAGATAATTAGTTCCATATAGTAACTATCAATCACTAGTACAAAATCGTGCAGCAATCAGCAGCAATTCAATAATCCAACTTCCTTACCCACAGATTACATTATAATACCTAATCTGTGCCACATCTTATTAGTAACCACACTTGTAATGCTATATTTGGATCATTATTAATCGTTATGGGGGAGGTTTTTTAACCTACTGCGAAAGTAAGCGTTTTTCTTTTTTTGTGGAGAAAACCGAGTAAAAAAATATTTGCAAATTGGAACAGATCCATCAGCGCCGTTCGTATCTTATGCCTTCCATAGTCATCACTCCCAGCACTATTGCTGCACTTCATGACGAAGTTTTTCTAGCTTGTGAAGCAATCTGAACATGAGAAAGTCCGGAAAGAAGAACTAGGTGGCCATAATGCCACAAATCCACTAGATTTCCTTCAAAGTAATCCAATGTAATTTTTGAAAAACGAGGTTCACTTTATTCCTGGGCACTGGGTTGGGCAGTTACTTTCGATCAAATATGTATATACAAGGTAGTTACACTATTATTGCCAAATTTCTATCTCATCGTGTATTATAAAACCTTACCTTGGAAATAATCCAAACACAGTTATTTAATCTGCTGATGTGATAATTGGGATAACCAAAGGATATTGTAGTGAATATTCCAAAAATTTCGAAAAACATCGAGCCGCCATCGACGGTAAAGAACGAATACAGATGTGATGCAATCTTTCCGGGCAATATGACGTGCTTTGTTCTAGAGTTTCTATAAAGCAAATCGAATTGCGATTCACGACAGTCGACGTTTTTGATGACACTGACTAAAATCAGCGCTCGTTGAGTGTGTGAATACTACCCCAAAATTGATGACTGTGAGCGGATCGTGGTTCGACTATCTGTCATTCCCTAAGGGATCGTGAGCGTACTATAATTTGACCGCATAATGTGTGCCTGAGATGTTTGATCTCGTCCAACTTTTCGATTTCAAATTTAGGCGGGAATATAGTTAGCTTTTGGAGGGAAGAGTCATATATCTAAATAAAAGTTAGATATATGTAGTCATTCCGGGGGCCATTTTTAAACGTTGCCAGGTTGATTCTATTTCCCTGTTATTGTAGTGAGAAGTTACTGAGAGTTTAGTACAAACACAACATAAAGGCCAACTGTCGAGTTAAAGACAAAAAATAAGGACGCTGAAGGCATTTAACCTCTAAAAAAATACTTAGTCCACCACACCAATTTTCGTAATAACGAGGCAAGCTGTCATTTTTAATGGTTAGAACCAAAATGCCGATAACATATTGTTTATTTGGTTTAATTATAGACTGAATTATCCCAATAATAATTACCCACATAATATGTATATATTGTAACGGAAATGCTCCAGAATTATCTGGAATTTTCTACGCGCGCGATAGTGGAATTTGTAGGAACATTCGAGAATGTACTGGACTTACATTGCTTGCGTGTATAAATGGTTGCGGACCGAACATCGCGGCAGTCTACTACGGAACGAGTACGTATGAAACATCGAGCGCGAAAAGCTGATATAAATTTCGAAGTGTGTGATATAAATAATCGATATAAATTGTACGGATTTTATAGTGTTTTAGTTTTGTTTAATAAATATTGATATAAATCGAACCCGAATTTATAAATAACGTTACAATATGTAGTTGTTTTTACCAACCCGAAAGAAAATCCACACGCGCAATGAATTAAGTAATTCGGTTGCGGTGGAATTTTTGATAACGTTTAAAATTAAATCTATTAACGTTTCAATAAAAGATATGATCCTGTTTAGTCCAATAACGGATAACTGTCGCCAAAGAGCTGATGTCTGTCAGACGTAGGCTCTCCTGCAAGTCCAATATTGTGCAGGTGATAGGAGGACACCAGTGATCTTCTTAATCTGGTTTCTGTTCAGTTTTAGAAACTTATAGACTTAACTCCCATAAAAAAACTTGCTTATTCATTTGTCTGGTATAATGAAATATATAAGTATAAACCCGAAATGCATGATGAAAAACTGTATAGACACAAAAGAAATGAGAAATTAGCCTTAAAATTTTGTAACTGAGAAAGAGATTATGTACACATAAGTAACTTATGATTACTTATTCAATGATTCTACGGACTACCATGGGCGTACGCAGCTTTTGGTCTAGGGAGGGGCAAAAAATATGGCGGAAAAAAAATGTTTAATGAACCACATAATATACATTTTTATTTTTAGTAGGTAATAGTTCGTCTTCAAAATTATTATATCTCAAAATATTAGTTATTACCGCTTTTATATCAATTAATTTTGTATGAAATATGCAAAAAAAATACGGGGCGAAAATAGACAGGTAGATATAAAGGCCATTTCGGTATATCGGTAGGATTTTAGGCAAATCGGTAGATCTACCGAAAAATCGGTAGACGGAACATCACTGGCTGACCACTTGTCACTTGTGTTAACGCGCGATTAGTGAACGATAACTTCGTTCAGCCCGACGGCAGGCGAGCCGGGCTGGCGCCTAGCTATGCAGGTGCCGAGTAATCCGATGGACATGGGAACAGCGATTGTCGGGATCGGTACCCTAATTTATAGCTTAATGGCCGTTTGCACCGTTTTACTAAACATCGTTTAAAGTCGTAAACACTGTTTAGCAATAGACAGGGTTTGCACCGTGCATTAATCAACGTTTAGAAAGGTGTAACCTATGTTTAATCTAAACGTCCAATTTTGGGCGTTTAAAGGTCTGATTAGTACGAGTATCTCATAATTTGTAGGTTATAGTAAATACTACCAGTATCTTTATTTTGATTTTCTTTCTGTGGTGTCATAAATTTTAATAAATTATGGATGTTGTTGAAGAATTTTTCATAGAAGATGATTTAGACATATTGGATATAGTAGAGTTTAGTTTCCCACGTAAAGTTTATACTAGGAAAAATCATTTCGAGGAGATGGATAACTTAACATTCTTTAAACGCTTTCGTTTGACGAAAGATGCAGTTCTGCAGAATTGATCGAAATGGATCTCGAATATAATAACAATTTGTATGAAGTTACTACCTAATTACCCATTTGTTATCCTAAACTATACTTTTAGAAACAATAATGTAGCACCTATTGATCAGTTGTTAGCAGCGCTTAGGTTTTATGCAAGTGCCGGACATTTAAGTACAGTGGCTGATTTTATCGGCATGGACACAGCATCACGGTTAGTTGCAAAGGTTACGCATGCTATTGGTAGACTGTATCAACAGTTTGTTAAAATACCAGGTCCAAATGAATTAATTCAAGCGCAGAGAGAATTTTATCGTTTATCATCTTTTCCCAGAGTTATTGGTTGTGTTGATGGTACGCATGTCAAAATACAATCACCAGGTACTTAAGTAGTTTCGCATAAAACCTGATGAGGTCAATATACATTTTCCAGGTGGAGAAGATCCGGAGGTTTTTAAAAACCGAAAGGGATATTTCTCTATAAATGTTCAGGGTACTTGTGATGCAAATCTGAAAAATCACAAATATTGGCAATCATTAACTTTTCAACCACACTAAACGTTGGGCATCGATTTCTTTTTTTGGTCGGAGCTTCCATTATTAATCAAATTTACTAAATTTAACAAAGTTGATGATTTTAAGCTCAAATATAAACTTTAAGATTAACAAACAGTCAGTAAACACATGTGACAGTAGATATTTTACAGTGTTGCCTAGCAGATTCTCCGATTACCTAAACAGCTTTATGTTTTTGTCGGTGCAAGTGGTTACAAATTAAACATTGATTAAAATTAAAACAGTGATTAGTTAAACAACGTTTATTGCAGAAACGGTGCAAACGGCCATTATCATTATCATTGCTTAAATCTCAAAGGAAAAGGTTTTGAATTAGAAGAAAACCAAAGACAATTCTTACAGATATTTTTTAACAAACATAAAACGTAACCTGTGGCCAGGCCAGAGGGGGGGCAGCTGCCCCCCCTTTCCCCTCCCTGCGTACGCCCATGACTACCTACATTTCATTCAAACAATCAAACCACCCAAACATATTCCTCTGAAACTAAAGTCAACCAACACTGATAAATATTCATATGAATAGTTCTCTAAAAATAGGAGGGAAGTATTCCTTTTAATTTGAATTTTTTGCTCTTCCTAACCATTTGGTTCGCTACAAATCTTTGGATGAAAAGCTTCTTCCTTATGAAATTTTTTCAAAAACTCTCTGATAATTATTCACGTTCAGGGCGAGAGGCGTGTTTATCTTCGAGACATTTTTCAGAGACGAGTCCTAGCGTATTTATTCAGGTGATTTAACCCGTTTTCTTGAGGTAGTGGGTGGGGGAGGTATATTTCTGGATTAATTTTAATATTCCGCGGACAAGTACACTGCACACGTGTGCATAAGTTTGTACATTGATTGAAACATTATTTTTTAGCCGATGATAGAGAATAACAATTTTCTGTAACTAGCACGGATACCACCCGCAAGAGCGATTATGTCCTTTTATGTGTAAGAACATGTGCCCCAATTTTGGTTCCAATAGGTTCAGCCGTTTAACAGGAAATTAACGTGTATTTCCGTTAAAAAAGTAGGGGGTCATTTTTTACGCATTCATTTTACAAATCGTTCCGTGAAGAACCGCTGAGCTCCTTTCCTCACAAAACTCGAACCCATCCCTTGCGTTTCATTTTTCTCATTATCACTTATCCGCGCCCGTAGACCGTTATTTCATGAAGGTTTGGGTCCGTTGCAATTATTAGAGTGATAAATTTGTTTTCCTTATTAATATCTTGAAGTGTTTTTTTTAACTGAATTACTAAACTACTCGCATGTACTTTTGATTTTGTAATTTTTGGATATTGTCCTGTTATTGAGAATATTTACTTGTTTGGATAATAAAATATTATTATTATTTTAGTTCACACAGGAGACACAGCGAGAGTTAGCGCTCAAGCCGCTATTATTAATTTTAGTATTGTTATGGTTTGTTGTTCTATGTTGTTATGGCATACCCTACTTAAGACAACACACCTTATATAGCAAGCCCGAAGCTCCAAGTTCCGACATATACTTACTGATCCTGCACTTTTTGTGTGCAATTAATTGTAGCAAGAAGTTAGAACATGACCATGTTCCTAGGTACTTATCATTATAGAGCTGGGTAATTATTTGTTGAACTAGAGAAGAACGTGGTTTTTCAATTAGAGTTCAAAGTTTGACTCACGAGCGTAGCGAGTAGAGTAGTTGTTTCTAAAGTAGTTTCAGAACAAATACTTTTCAAAATTAGAAATGCTAATTTATTATTTTAAATACAAGATACTAAATAGGTATATGTATTCCTATTTAAAACACCAAATAGAAAATAGGTATTTCAACTAAATAATTAAAATAAGTAATATGTCTACCGGTTACATTGGACGTTATTAATATTCATAAAGCAAGAACATATTAAACAAGTTAAAAAGTAATCATACACGATTTACAAAAAGCGCATTTTCACTTGCATTCATTTCCCATTTGTAAGATGCAACTTCTGTTAAAATCGTAAATATCCGGCCACAAATATGAAAGATAGCGTTGCATAGATACAATCCATTTTTGACGTGCTACTTCAATTTCAGTTTATAAGAATTTTATTTTAACGCTTTCATAAATAAGAAAGTTGGCACTGCGCATGCGCAAAACCAAATTTTGAAACTGGCGTTAGATTTTCTTTTATTCCAAGGGTCTATGTATCAAATTTCGGTAAATACTTTTATAAATAAAAAAGTTGGCAATCGGTTTATAAATGGTCGAGATTCGAAAAGGGCACCTGTGAATGTTGAATCCATTCGACTCAACTTTTGGCATTGCGTATTATATGGCTGAAACTATGCCCATATTGAATTTCATGCAATTCAGTTCATAACTAACGGCGATGGGACATTTCTAAACAAAGTTATCGTTCACACGCACATATACATGGACAAACAGACAAAAGAACAGACGTACAAACCAACAGACAAACGTCAGACAGCAATACAAAATTATAAACGATCTCTACGATTATGGAATATGTAAAAAATGTTTTTTTGGTTTTTTTACATAACTTTTTTAGCAATAAACGCAGAAAAAATTTCTTAAGTCTATTTCAAATACAAGATAGTTTTTATAAGTTTATTTAAGATACAAAATCAAATTTTGTAATAATTAAAAATAATTAGACAACCTTGCACACGACGGAAATTGAAAAAAGGACGTTATAAGAGTGGGGGTAAAATTGAAGGATAGGAACAAAATCATTTATCTACCTGTGAAATGTAATTCCAGCCTTGAGCGTTATCTGGCAATCCGCAAGCCAAACAACGTACCTAACGGATGGCCGCTTTAGAATTAAAAAAAGTATTTTAGCATTGGAAATGCTTACGTCATTGTTAAAGTATTTAAACAATGCTTACGTTTTGTGTAAGGGTATGAAGTTACAAGCAAAGATCATACTACAGATCTTTGAGAAAAGACAGCGGTGTCGCAACAAGTGACGATTGCACCGTACTCGACCATGATCGGTAGGTGAAGGAAAAGTCGATACTGTAGTTATTTAATAGTGCGCAATTGTTAATTCCAATCTAAAATTCTCGCACATCTCCTTTAATAGAATTAAGAGCATGTTATGAGACTTATTATTCAGAAAGTCTATGTTCCCGGGTGAATAAGGGTTATTTGTGTTTTATATATACGGTTATCATTTCCAACGACTCCAATGGTTGCAAGGATTGCGAAATCTGTGAATTTTTTTCTACAATTTTCAAATAAACCTGTAATTTTTTACGAATTCTGAAGCACGCGAAGTAGTAGATTTGTAAACGGTTAAATAATCGTTGTTCGCGAAAACGTCAACAGTGAAACAATGAGAATAATCAACTCAAAAATGTTGTATATAACACTAGCGCGAAGTTATTTCGCGTATTTGACTGACTATTTTCGAATTTGTATTTTGCTCGGCATAGGAAAATTTACATATGTGCCGTTTCATAGTGAACATGAACGAAAGTATGTCTAGCGAAGTGTAGGTACGTTTTCGATAAAAATATGCGGTGTGAGATAAGCAAAGAGAGACCGGACTGTAAGGGGGTTTTCGGCGGCTGGGTTTCTATTTTTTCCTGGTTTTCCTTTCGGAACCAAGCCATATGTCCATAAGCAATAAAATTTCATCCACAAATGTTCTTGTACATACTTAGGCATATGGCGGCTAGTGATAACTGCATCACCTTCTGGCCCATTTCGCAATTTTATAAGTACGATAAATCCTCCCCACGGTCATCAAGTAGTTAAATGGAAATGGTATTCTGTTAATTATGAAGTTATTTCCTTCTCTTTTTCCAAAAGTCCCTATACTTTTTTCATGCAGAGTATGTTTCATATACTGATTCCGGCTATATGTATCTCAGTTCAGTACCAGTTTGCATGATTTCCACTGGGCAAGGACATTAATTTATTATAATCAGTGTTGCGCGGTTTCCCAATCACACCAAGGATTTATTGGTAGACAAATTTTTAGCCGCCTTCCGTTTCTTCAAGCGCGCGGGGCCGCAGGTATTACATACTGGGTCAACAAGTTTAAAAAGTCATTATGTAAACATAAATGACGTGAGCGTATTTACCTCCTAATAATATTAATGCTAGGACCAGAAAAAAATACCGGTAGGCACGAGATCCTTACCCCATTCTCTTTCAAATGAGCCGCCTATCGTCGAAATCTATACAGTTTAATGAAAAATAGTGAAGCGTATACAAATACATACAAATTTTGAAATGGGCATTAGTTTTACATTTATTCAAAGTGTCTACATATGGAATTTTTATAAATGCTTTCGTAAATAGCATTGTGCATTGTCTACATTATAAATTTCATTGAATACCCTCATAAATAAAACATACAGCATGCGTTAACCGTAATTTTGAAACAGGTATTAGTTTTAGCAAATTACTCTTTGGTTTTAGTTTGATTCAAGGTTTCAGTTTCCATTGCGCATGCGCAAAACCAAATTAAAGACAAATGCCTATGTATAAAATCTCACTTAAATGCTTCATACATAAGAAAGTTGCCATGCGCAAAACAATATTTTGAAAGTGTCGTTAATTTTACTTACATTCGTAGTGTTTACATATAAAGTTTCATTTAATTATCTTCATAAAAAAGTTAGCATCGCACATGCATTAAACCAAATTTTTGACACTGCGCATGCGCAAAACAAAATAAATCGGTATACCTGTATGCTCGGAATCCTTGGACCAATCCCTTTCAAATGAGTCCTATATCGCCAAAATCGGTTCAGTGGTTTAGAAGGAGTACGTGTGACGGACGGACGTCAAAGTGCAACCAATAGCGATTTTTTACTTTGAGGAAAATACGCTAAAACGCCCACTTTCGCAATGGTAAGGTACTAACACGCAGAAGACTGAATACTGTACATACACACCTTCCTATTATTACAAAACTTATAACATTTTTATAAATTATTAAACAGATACGTAAACAATTTAGGTTGACTCATTTCCCTCTTATACTTTTGTACCATTTCCTGCACTTTCACCCTTCTTCGAACATGCGGGGGTTGATAACTGTAAAAATCCAACTCTGTACGCAACCTTTGCAAGGGACCTTTAACCATACTTATCTGAATCTAGTCGCCGCCTTCGAGACATATTAATCGCAGTGTACCGAACTAATGGTCCTATTGCTCGTCGACTAACAATCATGCCATCGACCAGAGGTGACGCCAAACCGACCCTTCCGGATGGTCCTTGTAAATGTACCCTTAGTAGTCCAGTCGCCATCCAATGCAAGTAGATTACCAAAACATCACTAATACGAGTTGGGCCTATTTCTAAACCTGTCTCCATGTAATTAAGTAAATCGTCTACAAAACAATGAGTGAAGCTGTTATCAAAATACAGATTATTACTTATTGGTAATGTTAAATAATCTTCATAGCTTTCTAACCAAACGATCATAATTTTAGTATCAGTGTGGGAGTAATGATGTCGATTGCCGGAACGTCTGGGTGGCGCTGGTTGTTTATCTAAATCTAACGACAAAGTTCGTTTATCTCGAAGGGAACCGTTGTCAGATAGACTGTTTTCGTGCCATGCTGCAATTGAAGTGTGAGGGCTGTAAAACAAAACACTTGTACTTACAAGACAAGGTACTGGTATTAAAAGAGTTAGTAGCACTTTGGTACGAAGTATTCTTCCTTGAGGAAGGTACCACAAAGGCTACTTCTGAGTAGGCATCAGCCCAGTACAAAACGTGCGAATTTCCATCGTAGTATTTAACAGCGTGGTTTTGTTGCTTAGAAGGTATGTAAGAAGACTTGACTTGCCAACTTGTTGATACGTGACCCGTCCAGCCTAGGAGACAAGTTGAAAGTTCACCTTCTTTTGTAAAACACAAATTACCTGGATGTTTTTTTACTACCACCGGCCATCCTAAGGTGTGTATAAACTCGACAAAATGCGAGGAAACATTTTCGTCGTTTACGTTCCCAACAATTTCCTGTGCGGATGTTTGACCAGAACGCACATAAAAGATGTGGGCGGTATCGCAGGTTCGAGGACTCATGTTATCTAAAGCTGTTAGGTCTTTGCAAAAATCAGCTGCGCTACTATCGAGTGCAATGAGTGTTTGATTAAAAGTATTCTGTAAGTTAAAACGCAACGATTAGGGGTTTCAAACAAAGGGAAGTTTTTGAATCATGATTTGTGCGCATCCTTATTGTATTCCAATGCACACATTCAATTGATACCGTTTTAGACCAGTTATGAACCTTTGAATTAATTTGTAGGGGGGAAAGCGAGCGCGGTTGTCACGATCCCTTTGGGCCTAAAAGTTGCGTCCATCCCATTCGATCCGACTGAAAAAGCTGAAATGCTGGTTTTCTATTGGTTATTACGGCACGTCGGTTGAGGTCATTGCCGTCAGAAAAGAAGGTCCCTTCCGTTTTCTGACGGGCGTGATCTTAGACCAGGACAAAAGGGTGGTCATGGATAGGGACAGACTCGTTTACATTGAAACTCACATACCCAGGCAATGTCCTTGACCATATTTAATTTGCAATTAGCAGACCTTGTACTGTATGGTCTAAGCCTAAGCCTCACTCGTAGTATTTACTGGGAAAAGAATTCCATGGAAGTAAAGGCAACTTTTTCTTTACGGATCGCCTAATGTAACAGGTGACCGCTTTGCTGGTTTCAAAATTTGGTTTTGAATTTGTATTTTATTCAACATAGGAAAATCTAAACATATACCGCTTCATAGCGAACGTGATCAAAAGTACGTCTTGTGATAAGAAGAAAGGAAAGCGAACGCGGTTACCACGATCTCTTCGGATCTAAAGGTTGCGGTCAATCTATTTGGGCTAACTGAAAGCTGAAATGCAAGTTTTCTATTGGTTATTAGTGTACGCCAGTCAAGGTCGTTGTGTTCAGAAAGGAAAGCCCGATTCGGTTTTTCTGATGAGCAAGACCTTAGACCAAGGACGACAGTCAAATAACGAAAAAAGTGGGAGAGCGTGCCTTTGAAAACTAAATCGCGAACGATCACGTAGTGTTTGTGTGTGAATTTTTCAGGTGAACCTAGAGAGAGTTTGGAGTGACTTAATTTTGTAAAACCTGCAATTAAGAATGCTACAGCCAATATGAGATTATGTAAATAATTACAGCAGTGGGTTAAAAAGATGGATGACCATCGTTATACATAAGAACCCAATAAAGGGCATTGTTGACAATTGATTGGTCACTATTAACATTAGCATTAACTAATCTAAACATCGGAAGTAATGACGGGATATCCTGTATATGAGAGAATATTTCAAAGTAAATATGAGAGATTATTTACGAAATAACGTTAGCTTCGGTTCGTTTTAATTGAATTTGCATCTCAGTGTTGTATGTTCCTTTTAGAAATTAGCCTGTACGACTCGAAAACTTGAATTAGTGCAACCAGGTAATGGCACGTTTTAAATCACTCATTAACAACGGAGTACTCAACTTCTCGCTAGAGGGAGCACTGCTCAAAGAAGGATGGTTAGTGCTTCCAGAAAAAGTAGAAAGCGATCATAAAAAACGAAAGGGGTGGTTTCTCAGGGAAGCTACCAATGATACAGATGCAAGCTATGACATTAAGAAGCACTATTGAAGCACTAACGATTTACATAAGTTCCATAATTAGTGCCTTTCAATAAAAGTGCGAAAATCAGTACCGTAGTAGGGAGTATCAATTTCTTTGTAAAATTGCATTCATTAATTCGTGATTGTGACCAAAACGGCGTCCACTATTCAAAAACGACCCGGAAATCGATCAGTATGATTATTAACCTCGTTATCTCCATTTAATGATAAGAATCCAAAATGAGATAAAAACAGCCGAGAAGTTTGAAATTCGTGACAAACTGGTGGCGGGGCGCATTCTTGCAGCTGCGTTTGTTGAGAATGATTGTTGATCATATTCGCCTCCGCTGCTATCTGCCTTTTTAAAAGTTGACTCAATTTCTTCGTTTCTTCACTGGCGGTTGCATCATCGGAGAGTACGTGGTCCAAATTGGGAATGGCTAGGTCACTATGATTTAAAAATGAGTGTAAAGAAGACTTAAAATATGGAAACTAACGCTTTACATTGCGGTACTCTGTCCACACCTTCAGGGAAATACCTGTGACTAACCTCGGGTCGTACTGGGTTATCTTGCATTGCAACTGGCCTACCCGGGCTCGGTGCGTGATACTTAGTACCAGACCGATGCCTAGGTAAGTGCCTTAGCTGCATAGTCCACGCGTGACGACCAAAGGGTCCTCTAATTAGTAAAGTAACTGTTGGTTGTGGATCCTAAAAATGCAGTAACATTAAATTTTGCGCATCGCTTATTTTCATTATTTGCAAAAAAACATACCTGATCATTTCCTAATGGTTCTTCAAGCAGAGCCAACATAATGGAGCCTTCAGAGACAAAATATCGAAAGCGCTCAACAGCTAAAGTCTGATCGGAACAATCAGTTGCCCATGAATTACAGTGCTGCAATAATGACACTTCATCTAATAGGGACGACACCGACTCAGGTCCACATTCATTTGGAAAATACCCAACCTAAAAAAACACCATGAGCAAGACACCAAAGCATGAAAGCAACCTGTTCCAAAATGCTAGTTAATAAATTTTCAGCAGCATCGCGCACTCTCATCGAAGCCGGTTTTAATTCCTTATCGTCTTTCATTTTGATTTTCTCCCCGGGTTTACCAACCGACTTTGTTCCGGAGACACCAAGCTCGGCCACCTCTAAAACCTGAAATTCCGCATTGTATTTGTCGCTCACGAACATGCAAGGTATTACCGTTGTCAAACAGTCTTTGTCGCGCAAAAGGTAAGGATGCTCTAACAGCCAAACCGAACAGCAATGGAAAGCCGCAACTATTGTGGAATGTAGGTCTTTCGAATGGGCGGGTGGGGGTCGTGAGCATTGATAAATGATGTAGTCACATAACCACTTTACGGCACGCTTACATTCTAAGGCATCTAAAGTGGACAATTTCAACTTTTGTTAGTTCCTAATCACCATCTGTTACAAATAACTACTGGTACTACGTTTTATCTCAACTTGCGCAGAGATTTCAGACTTTCCTCATATATACCTTATATGCTAGTTGTATTTTCCCGCCCACAACGGATTGTTTGAGTGTGTGTAATAACTAATAAAAGGTCATTGGATTAAATAGATACACAACAATCACTTTGTAGGGAGAAAAGACCAAGAAAAGTAGTTTCATACCTGAAAACTTTCTGGATGCTAACCAATAAATTATAATTTATATTAACACCTTACAAGAACTAATAGACAAACCTGACTCCTTTATATGTATCCGAGCCAAACCAGAAAGAAGTTCCAATGCAGCTAGTGACACATTCAAATCTGTTTTCCATGATGAAATCAATCGATGGCATACTAAATAAGTGGCACGAACAAATAATGCATGGGCCGAATCTGTCAAAATACGTGTAAGTGAAGCGCTATTAAACGACGGCGTTGAAGCGTCAAAACACATATGCAACGGTGCGTGAAAACAAATGCAACATACCAAGTGGATGTACATCACATAAAGTATCGCCTCTAAAGTAGTCGGAGCGAGGGTCAGAGCCTCCTGTCATGCTGGAAGTGCTTGTGGTATCAGACGCTATCATGCAAGCAAAACAATAATAAAAATCAAAATTAGCATGCTTAATGGTACTCATCAACGTAAGGCAAAAGACACTCTGTCCCAAGTTTGAAGTTAAAATTCGTAGAAATTGATTCCATTACACCATGACGCAAGTAATACTGTCAGCGCTCACACACCTTGTACATGATATTTCAAGCGTTCAAGATTTTATTACATACATATGCAAATAAAGAAACATGCGGTAGAGGCGCTCAAGTTGCGACCAATTACGTTATTTTTTGCGAGCAACGTAAGCAACTTTTCAAAATGTCCCCCGCGATTCGATAGATCCAAGGAGAGCGGCGTAGACATATACAAAGATTGCGTGTGCGTTTCGGACGAACATGCTCTTAAGCGACTTCCCATGCTTTTAGATGGTTCCAAGGGGTACGAACAGCCATAAACGACTGGTAGTGTGCAGTCGATTTTCTGCGAACCACTTTTGGTCCAAAAAGACAAGCTTATCGCGAGTTATTCGCGCATAAGCAGAACTCAAAAACAAAGACAGATGTTGATAAAGCTCACTTTAAGTGAAGCTATTCAAATGGACTTGGTATACGGTCTTTTACATCGCAAAATTCGCGGCGAGGCTGCTCGCGATTAGATGAAATTTTACACGCACCACTCGCAGAAGAGATTGTCGAACCTTATGCCAATAAACCGTCATCATTCTCAAATTCACAAAGTGCTCAGAATAAAAAAAGTGCATGTATTGCAAAAATCAGGGGCGGACTGGCCAGTCGGGCGATTGCCCGATGGGCCGGTATAAATATCAACTGATGGGCCGCCAAAATAATCGATTTATTTAACATTATTTTCTGTCTATATTATTGTATTATGTTATGTTATGTCTTATGAGTTATAATGGTCGATTCCAATTGGTCAGCGTGCAGAATAAGGCCAGTAACACACCAGGCAGCTTCGCTGCGGCAGAAACACACGATTTTCAGCTCTCTAGGCGGGCTCGAATAAGTAATAGTGTGTGCGATTAGCTCCCGCAGTCTTATGACTGCCTAGTGCATTACTGGCCTTATAATAATTGAATTTTTTCACCCAATTTGTTTTTATTTGTAAGAGGACGCGATACACTGGAGAATGAGTCTTCCTATCTTTTCAATACAGTTTGGCAAAACAAGAAAATCTTCGTTTATATCAGCGAAAGACAGGCAATAAACTTTGTTTATACAGCATACGATGTGTACTGTGATTATGGATAATTGTATAAATGAAGTCATTACGTAATTGCAAAGTGCAATATAGGGTACAGAGGTAATAGAAACGCGGACTTCCTATCGTTAATGAACCCGGGCACCATGGTAATTTCTTGGAACCAATTTTATTGTTAAAAAAATTAGACCCATTGCTAAATTCACATATATCAACAGCGTAATTTGTGAAAAAAAAAGAAAAAGCACCCGGGAAAGCCAAGACGAGGACAATCAAAACCAACGGTCAATACAATTATACAATAATAAAAAATGTAAGTAATAAAACGTCAAATTTCAGAAAAAGTTATCAAGACAAAACTATATACTCCTTAAGTTGACACTGCTCAAGACATTAAGGAGACTATTTCCGTAGAACTAAATGTTCCGCGACTCCCAATTCTAAAAAATGGGCCGATAAATATTTTCCCCGGGCCGCTTAAGAGTCTTCTGTACCCACTGCACCCAATGTAAATTTCCATAAGAGCGCCCGCCATAAAAACTCTATTTGTTTTTCCAAAAACAATTTTTTTTAAGAACTATTTTATAAACTTAGACCTTTATCTACAAAATGTTCGGACTATTTTTTTTTATAGTTTATAGCAACTGAATACCGATTGTTTAAAGATTAGATGTTTTGCACCGATTATTGCGCTAATCTGTTTTATTTTTTTACTCTCGATCAAGACGATTTATGGAAAAAGTAAACCGACAGTTTTTTACATAAGTTACTTCTAAACATGGACCCAAAAAATGAAATCATAATTTTTGTAAATAAAGTCTGTATCTTGGCGGGCGTTAAATCAACAATTTGAGTGTAACAAGTGGCGCCACTGCACAGTGTCGGTGGGAACTAACTAAGGACCAAGACAGGAGTTGACAAAGCAAGAATATTATCTTATCTCTTGCAGCTATAATCATCTATACACTATAATGTAAAAAAGTTGCGCTTAGATAAAGCAGACTCTTAAAGGTTACCAGTCCGCCTCTGGCAAAAATGTTGAACATTTAAAAGAAAAGTGCCGTGAACTTGCAACGCACAGGGTACATCCAAACTTGCTTTCAACTTCTAAAGCAATCAATGAAGATAATGAACGACAGATCACACGCTATGGTTGCGGTGCGTTCCGACAAAGACTGCGGAACTTCTATACACTAATTTAAAATAGAACAAACTCCTCAGAATCGACACATTACGACTACGCGTTAATTAAGACTGATGCGAAAACTAGGTGTCGCTGGAAACAAGTTGGCCCAGCTGCTCGCAAACTATAGAGTACCATACAGCGAAGGTCGCTGATGGAGAGCAAAGAAACGTGAAAACTACCGTATTTGGTCCTAGCGAGAAACATACTTCTTATGCTGAAAATGTCATCAATTGTACCGACAAAGAGAACAAATGTCAACCTTACATACAATCGCCGTCTAATCCAATAGGTACTATGTGGAGTATTATTAATTCCCACAGACGTTCATCAACACAAGTTTGTTACAATATTACGGCAAATGAGTTTAACGATCACTTTTCTAGAGATTCCTATGATATGAATGTTTTGCCAACTTCTAACCTTAATCCAATTGAGATTTGTACTATCGACAATCGTAATCCAAAATTTAGTTTCGATTTAGTGTCACCTGTTGAAGTTCGAAAAATTCTAATGTCTTTAAAGAATAGCAATACGAAAGATTCCTTTGGCATAAGTGTTAACTTGATCAAATATCTCCCCTCTATTTAAGTTAATAGACTCAGCTCTTAGTGAAGGCGTGTTTCCCGATTTGTTAAAAATGGCGGTAGTCGTACCAATATACAAAAAGGGAGATATTAATAATCCGAAAAACTATAGACCTGTATCTATATTACCTGCTTTTTCCAAAATATTTGAAAAATTATTTAAACAAATATCAGCTCACCTAGAAAAAAATAATATACTTTACATAAAGCAATTTGGTTTTAGGTCTGGTAGAAGTACAACTGATGCTCTTTTGTCTTTTGTCAATACGACCTTGCAATGTTTTGAGGCTGGAGAATTTTCGACAGCAATTTTTTTGGATTTATCGCAGGCTTTTGACTGTGTTTGCCATCAAATTTTTATTGATAAGTTGGAAAAAGTGTATAATTTTGATGTCCCGAGTTTGTCCTTAATCAGGTCGTATCTATCCGATCGATCTCAATATGTCCGCATTGGTAATGAACAGTCCAGTACACTAGCAATTACAAAAGGAGTCCCCCCAAGGTAGTATTCTTGGCCCACTCCTGTTCCTTCTTTATGTCAATGACCTTCCTAGTTATATTTCACCAAACAATAATTGCATTCTATATGCGGATGACATTACTCTGTTGGTTCAAGGTGATAATCTAGCCCAGTTAATATCTGAAGCTCAATCTCCCTGTGACAAAACTAAAGGGTGGTGCACTGCTAATAAGTTAAACTTAAATTCAACGAAAACTGAACAATTGTTATTCTCTTTAAAACGCCATGATGTATCTTATTCGACATCAGTAAAATTTGTTGGAATACACATTGACCCTAAGTTGCAGTTTACTCTTCATATTGATTATATTCAATCAAAACTAAGTAAAAAAGAAATGCGTATTATGCTTTATGTCATAATTTGTTCTTATGGAGTTAATGTGTGGGGTAATTCGTCAGCAAGTAGCCACTTATTTAGAATACAACGTCGCGCAATAAGGATCATTGCGAAGCTTGGTTATAGAGTGGACTGTAGGTGTGCTTTTACTAATCTAAACATTTTAAAGTTACCCTGTTTATTTATTGAATCGTGTTTGAGATTTGCAAGAAGGAACATTTTAAATTATCAGCAACAAGCTTTTTATCACGATTATGACACCCGAAATAAAAGCACTGTTCGTCTCCCTTTATTGAGACTCAACAAAACTCAAAAAGGTTTTGAATACATGGCACTAAAGTTTTTCAATTGTTTACGTGATACCGTCAAAGCACTATCAAATCGAGAATTTAATCGCTGTATTAAAAATGTTCTTTTAGCTCACGCCTTATTTACTCCACGGATGAATTTATAAATTTCGATTTTAGTTTGATGCTATAGGTTACAATTTAGAAATGTTTGATGACAAGTGTATGTAATTCTTGTTGATTACCTAAACACAATAAACTTTATTATTATTATTACCCTACAAATCAGGGTATTATCAGGTGTCCGTGTGACCCACAGACAGAGATAAAACTGCGTTTGTAACATGGGATGTATAGCAGAATCCGCATGCCGTTTGGCTTAACAAATGCGCCGGCTACATTCCAGCGCCTGAAGGATCGAAGGCCTTAGGAGATGTATTTTTGCTTGCTTATTTAGACGACTTGGTTGTAATATCAGCAACTGTTGTATCTCATTTTGGAAATCTGAGGAAACTGATGATATTTCTAACTTGGTGTGACATCATTTAAACGTGGATCAAAGAGATTTCAGAGCAAATTTCAGCAAAGGCATAATAGCCATGTTACCTAAGCAAGGTAGATGTAATAGCGAGTTGTTCAAATCTTCATGCTACCAGATCATATATATCAATATACAACCAACTTCAAACTTGGGACATAATAAAACACAACAAGTACCTGAGCTTAACAAGTTCGTAGTCCCCGTCTCGGGCAGAGGTTGTGTAACCTGTTCGACAGCTTCAAATGCAGCAGAATCTTGCACACACAAAAATAGGCCACCTAATAACATGTGCGCATTTTGAGGGTCCGACTCAACTTGTAATGCATTCATCAGTAAGTTCATTAGTTTCGGCTTGAGCTCCAAAAATATGATAGGGTGTTCTGCAGAATAATCCGCTTTACACTAATATCATCACGTCACAGCTTTACCTACCAGAACTTGTCGTTAATTCACGAATTGGGATGTTTTGAAAATGGAGCGGTAGTACAAGTATTGATAAAAGTATACTGATTGACGCTCGTCTCAAGTCCACTTTAGAAACGTTAGGGGATAACTTTGAATCCTTATCCGCGAGCACGATTTCTAGAGCCGAAACGAAAGAAGGTACCAGAACTCGAACACCCTCCAAATCCAGCTTGAATATACTCTGCGAGTTCATGACAATCGAGACGATCGTTTCGCCACACTCTCTATCAGACGAAATGTGTAAACCTTGATCGACGGCGAGATAAAAGCGAGCGAGGTACACGGGCAGTATTTCCTCGCCCGATTTTTTGGCGCAGAAAATTCTACAGAGTGCACCTAATGCCTCCGCTCGTCCGCTCTCGTACTTGTCGATCGTTAAATTGGAGGGCAGATCGGTTAGGTCGGTTATTGAGCTCATATGAAAAGAGTTGGGACCTTTTGATTTTGGACCTTCCATTATTACGGAACTGGGACGCTTGTGATCCGGATCGTTGCCTGAAATCGGTTAGATGTTCAACTGATAAGCTGGTAAAAAATATAATTTCGTCGGGTATTGCCATACAGACCTTGTACAAGAGAGGACCCAACGAATGCTGCTTCAAAAAGCCATTCCCCAAATAAATGCAATATACTGTTGCATTTAGCTCGTTCGGCTGCTAACGGAGCTCTGCTTTCCATGTTTAATGACGAAAGGGCTACATATCAATTAAAATATGATATATAAAAACATAAAGATGGCACTTACATGATATACTAGAGGTGGAGGATGGGCCAGAGTTGGGCGCAGACGCAGTCTGCACTACTGTTGAGATTCGGTTGCTTGTTAGTCCAATTAAAGACGTTTTCGGCATTCCTGTATACCGCCACAAAAGTAAATAAGTTCAAACGGTTTTTTGATCAGTAGAGAATACAGTCTAGATACACAGCAGTAGTGTAGTGTATTGCAGTGACAAAAAAGAAGAATGTGGGCTTTTCTTGTACAAGTGAATATGCTGCCTTGTATCTAAGCTGAGTTTTCATAACATACACGTATTTGAAATAATTTAGCATACATAACAACACACAACAAACAATACTGTAAACACACTATCAAGCTTTTGGTATACTTACGCGTAGAAACCATTACGGTTAAGTAATATGGGTACCTACTACAACCAAAAATATGTACCCGCATTTTCAACAGAGCGAAACAATTGATGTAGATAATTCAGCACAACAGATTCCGTTTTAATCTTAGACACAGGGTGTTTAACGATGAATGGAAAACTATTGTCCAGCATTTTTACATATTCCTGGACTAGGCATAAAAACAAAAGACCAGCGAGCAACAACAAAATTTTATTTTTCCCTGTTCTTGAATACAGGTATAACACCGTTTCAATAACATCTTTAATTCAGTATAAAAATATTCTTTGGTTAATTGAAATACCTTTCTGAAACAGTTCAATGTTCATATGAAAAGAGTTGTCATTGAACACCCTAATTTCTCAATTAAAAAGAAATCTTTTGTTATGCAATGTAAAACTCATTTATGTAGTACAGTATTCTTGTCATATACTTCTATATACAAGAGAATCGTTAAGAGGTGTACAAATTTATTACTCAATGATATAATAAATTTTCAAAAAATCATAATATCATATAACAATCATTATTTAATGTTATAAATAATGGAATTTTATTGTACAGTGCAACAGCTGTGTAATATCACAAAAAAGATGTATATCCCGTACTATTTATGCCAAGTATGGTAGATAAGAGACAAGTTAATTACGAAAACGTGTAGGTTCTAGGTATCCAGAAAGGTATAATTTGTATGACACTGCTTTCGATTTTCCAAATTAACCTCATACTGTAGCACTGTTATTTACTTACATATTATTCGTGAAGATGCAAAAAGATAGTCATCATATGTGCTTTATAAAATCACAGATTTAAATATACTACAGATGGATCATGCCAAGTTAAATTCTGGCAACGGTGATTTGGATTTAAGCCTCTGGTGCGTTAAATCCAAACTAAATTAGTGTTATTCGGAGTCCACAAGGAAGCACTGTAGAATGAATAACTTGCGCGTGGTTTACAACTGCAATAAGAAAGACAAGAACTGTTGCGATAAACAGGGGTATCCGATTACACAGAGCCCAACAAATGTTGTATTGTATGTAACTGACCTTCCCCATTTACACTCGCAATTTTTCTGCTAGCATGCGTTTATGTTAGTTACACATACACATTCCTTTATATCGGAACTCGGAAGGGCGAACCGACGACTGATTATACCTTATTCTGTCAAACCAACAAGATTTGTAATTATGCAGGATGTTTACCGTATAATTGATTTATTTTTGATTATAAGTAGGTACGGTATTTTGTGCGATTTAGGTTCTATAATGCCTACATCTCTGATCACAGCTTGGCGTGTTCCGTGCTCGTATTTAGATTTTTAGAGTATTTTTAATGATAAGACGATCTAAAAGCACAATTATGACGTAGACGAAGTTTTTATTAATTAATCAGAGGTGTTAGGCCTGTCTTTGTGAAAAACAACATAGGTACCTAACAATAGGCGTCTCTGAGAATTTAAGTCAAGTTAGCGAATATGAGTCGAATGTGAGATGTGACCAAACGCCCCGTTTTGAACGTGACAGTTCCGTTTTTAGTACACTTTTACTTTCAAAAAATAAAAAATGTGCATACTTTGGCGCTCTTGATATGTCTACCTGTCTGTCTGTCTGAGTCACAAAGGCTCCGGAACTACACCACTTACGGACTTGGTATTGGTGTCATTCGATCAGAAATTAAAAATTTTTTCATTTTTGTATTCTCATTAAGGCATAAAATGTTCATAAGGGCTGTTAAAATCGAAAAAACAGATTTGAAAATGCACTCTTCGCCTTTGCTCACATGCGGATTAATGATTTTTTTCCTTATATTATATTCTGGTTGTCCACGACAATCACAACAGGGTTTTATTTCTAGAAAACATGGTTTTCTGTAAAAAAAATGCGGTATATTGATGGATGGTGGAATTCAAAAATATAGCAACATATGGACTGAGTGAGATGCCTCAAACCATGGCTCTACAAAATTGTTTCTCATCTTGGTCCATGATTTTTGACCACAGAAGGACGCGCAAATTCAAATCTTGGAGTTTGGATCCCAATTGGATATAATCGTTGAATATTTGTAAGGAAGTGTATTAACATTAAATGATTTAAAATCAAAAGTTGTGGGGTTTTTGCGGTAACTGTAGGTAATTTTGGTGGCAAAAATAGTAAAAGGTGTCAACAAAGCCTTTGCTGTGTAGGTCGTCTCTGAAATAAAAACAAAACTTATAGGGATTGTTGATTTGAGTTCACCATTGTTAAAATTGACTTAGTTTTTTAACATTTATAGTGTTCGCATTGAAAAATACTCAAGGAGTTCTGCGACTTAGCTGATAGAAAGTATCAAAAACTGTTGGGTTACATTAAAACAAGGTGCCTCGCAGTGATGTCTGCATTCGAAAGAGTTTTCAAAATATTGTTATGTGAAAACACTAGGTAGTTTTTGAGCATCTCAATGTCTGAATATTTTGAAGTAGGTAATTGTTTGAAAATTTCAGCTCCGAAATTTGGTTGCTTTTTCTATACGCGCAGCCCTGTTAAAGATCGAGGCACAAAGCATATCTGCAATTGAGGCTGTTAAATTAATCGCCCAAGGCTCTAAGGGATAATTTGGCTGTGCCTATGAGACAAAAAGTTATTTTCTCTTCTCCGTTCCACTGGTAATTTATTGACGAAACTTTTAAAAAATTTGTGGTCACCGCAGTGGCGGATTTAAATTTTTTGCACCCCTAGGCACACCAAAAGATATGCGCCCCAAATAATCTTTAAATTGCAATACATTTTAAAATAAAACTCAAATTATAACATGAAATTTTTAAAACTAATATGAAAAGAAACTATCTACCAATTCTAATTTATTTCATAATTTTATTACATTTTTGTCATTTGTTACTTGTTAACGGACTTATTTTAAAACTTAAAATGTTACCTAAAATAAATATAATGCAAAAAAAATGCCTCCCCCTAAAGCTGCCGCCCCTAGGCACGTGCCTAGTGTGCCTATAGGTATGTAAATCCGCCACTGGGTCACTGGTCAGTTCAAATACAAGTTAGAAGCGTGTAAATGGGGGATTCTTATAGGTAAGTGCAATTTACGTTATGTGATTTTGATTACGATTTCTCTTGCGACTTGCGAGTTGCCATAACCAAATATTTCAAGATTCACATTATACGGTTTTGTCGTACGACTTGTGAAATTGTATCTTGACGTGCGATTATGGGTTCGACCTCGACCAAAACTGCAGAAGAAGATAGTAAAAACTAAAAATTACCACGTTAGTAAACCACGCGTGGGGATGGCGCCCAGATGTCGCCGTCCCCACATCATGTAGCCCCGTCCCTAAAGTTGTTAATTACACGACCCCGTATGGACACGTACACTCCTCGTCTGTCTACAGGCCCTCATTTGCTGCCAGCGAGGCAGCCATCCAACCAGCCAGTCAGCCGGCCAAAGTGATATGAAAAGCTTCTATTAAGAACAAATGAAGATGCAATTAGAGTTTTGATATCGATCCTACTTTGCAAAAATGAGCTAAAAACTACCGTAGGCCTATATCTGGTCCAGAATTGCAGTTAAAATTCGAATTTTCAAAAACAATTTTGGATTCGTTATTTTTCTCTTAAAGAGACGCAGATACCAAATTTCTGTGAGATCGAAAATGTCGCATCCCAGTTCAGACCCTATGTTGGGGAAGTACCGCAGTAGACGTTACAATTTCCACGATATGTACGTGGAACCATTCTGTTCTTGGTATAGTCATGAATTTCTAAGGCTGCATGATAATGCGGAACAAAATAGTGAAGAAAGTACTTTATATTTTGAGATACTTAGTAGTAAATCCGTACGGGTTGTCAAAAAGTGCGGGGTGGCTATATTGCGATTACCGTTTTTGGACGTATCAAAATTTCATCAAACGTCAACGTTTTAGATCATTTTAAGCAACTTTTAAAGAATACAAATTTTTTACTGTCTGTTTTAACTCGTATGTACCTATGTACGTACATACGTTGGCAGATTAGGCATAAAGGATATAAACGTCATACTATTTTTTTTAAATAGCAATAACGCAAAATTTTTATTAAATTATTCGGAAGACTTTCTTTTTCTGTGTACAACCTACACAAATTATGCTAGGTTTTATTACAAATAAACTTTTTTTTCAAATACATAGTAGGGCTAAATTTTTTATTTAGTTTTTTGAAAGAGATTATTTTTCTTGGTTTAACCTACACAAATTTGGTTTTATTACAAAAAAAAATATATATATGAAATTTTCCGAAATACAGCAGCTTAGGGCGCGGTTACTAAATAAAATACTTAGGATTTGAAAAGAATATTTAAAATTCATTGTCGGGGCATATTGAAGGACTCTTCAGGCTACAACCTAAAAATATTTTCAACGAAATTGCAATTGTTATATAGGGCGATTTATATCAAAGTTGCACTTTTTTTAAATATAACTCCCTGTTTTTAATTAGAATAGGTGTTTTAACTTTTAACGGCCTATTAATTACTGAGAGGCTTTAAAAATCGACAAACCTTGTGTATTATTAGAAATGGTTGAATTACAAAAATATGTATAAAAGGTAAATACGGCGTGCTTATATCGTTAGAAAGGTAATCAAATCCTACATTTGATGCAATAAAAAACTTGGATTAGTTTCATTTAAAACTTTGAATGTATCAAGTTATCTTTAATTGAAATTCTGAAAATTTACAGTGATTTCTTTTAGCACAAAAAAAGTTTAACTTTGACCGTTCGGCGTATGTAGGTAAGCACACGTGATGATCAGTAATACTGCAGCGTCATGGCCTTCTAAGTTTTATAGAAACTTCGTTTTCAATTTTTACTGAACATCTATTTTTTGAAAAAATGACGCTCAGCCACTCATTTTAGATATAATGTGTAAATAAAGTCACACTAAAATTGACCAAGTAATCGAAATATGCAATAATATAGGTGAGTTCTATTTAAAAAAATACAACTTTGATATAAATCACCCTGTATACATCATCGAGATTTCGTTTGATTCGGATTCCTGGTGCCTCAAAACATGTATTTGATGTATTCCCGTAAAAAAAGGGAGGGGTCATTTTTACCCCACTGCAATACCTCCCTTACTGACACGCGGGTAGTAAAATTAAGTTAAAATAAACAAACAGATAACGAGTGAAGTTTTCGAGTAGTTATAAAAAGCTGTTCTGCAAGAATTTTACACCTGGTTTCAATTTCATTTGGCGATGCCTTGAATCAACGTATAGACATATCAAAACTTTCGATTGATAGTAGTTGATTACAGAATTTTAATTTTCAGGCTGAAACTGAAACTACCATTCTATTTCTATAGAAAGAAATTGTTCTTGGATTTTATTAATTTAAATTAAAGGAGAGAGAACGGCCACAGATACGCCCACACAAGGTCGTAATTGAACACAAACACACAATACAAAGACCCATTGTTTTAATTACGAAGAAAAAATTCATATCATATTGCTTTTCAGCACCATCAATAGTAACAACCTTCTATGCCATCGTTATACAGACTCCTGCTGATTATTTTAAGTTGAGACGCAAACTAAAACTTTCGATTTAATAAAATTCATATAGGTGCGCTAGCAACTGGAACGTTTGTTGTGTTTCCACAATCGCCTATCTCATGATCCATCTGTAGTATATTTAAATCTGTGATAAAATGTAAAACAGTCAAGCACTAACTACCAAACAAATTAAGATAGGTTAATAAGTTTATTGTAAACGCTTCTCAAGATCGAACAAGCAACACAAACGTGAAAAAATAATTTAAAATTGTTGAAAGGAAAAGAAAATGATAAAAATATGATCAGCGTAGTAATAAGGCCATTGACAGTTATATATGTATGCATTAGTTTACGTTCTTTTAAGAATATCTTCTAGTCATTGTGTAACCACTTACAGAATACAAGAATTTCAATAAAAATGTTATCCTTTTGCGTCAATTAATAGCGAACAAAAAAGTAGCTTCTCAAAGCAGTCATGTATACGGGATACCAAAAAGGGTACAAAAAACAACGACTTAAAGTCTACTGGTCCATAATTTACATAATAGAGCCCCTTGTGTTATAGATCACGAAGTGAAACCAGACAAATTGCAGTTATCTTTCCAAGATAATCATTTTCTTCAATCAGTATTAAGTTTCAAAATCGCCAACAGGATCCCCTATTGTTCGGATGATAGTATTACTATTCCTCTAATACCCATTGATCAGAATGTTCAGCTGAGTGATTTTTATGGCTTAAGTATGGTAAAAATCATATGCACAGGCCCCCTATTAATGCCAAATGATTGGGGACAATCACGTTAAAGTATCGCAACATGTGCATGCTTTTGTGAATTCACAATTACAGAGAATTATGAACCTACTATAATGTGATGGTACCTGTATATTTTTGAATTACCATGTATATAAAATTTGTAATACCGAGCGTTACAGTGATTAAGTATATTTTTCATTTTGAAAGTTGAAGTATATTTACACGAGTGTTTAAATTAATTATATTTTGTGGAAAAAGTGGTAAATATTGTGCAAAGACTGCTTTTCCATATACATCAACGAATAGAAACAATTTTCAAGGCCAATCGACCAATTTAGAACTTTAGGACTCATTTGAAAGGGCTTGGTCCAAGGATACCCTTATTTTTTGGTTTTGCGCATGCTACTAATAACTACTAATAACTATAACGTTTGCATCACAAATAAAGCAAACGATGTATTACATGCCTTTGATAGTATTTATTGATTTAAAGGTATAATTCAGGTAACATATCGATTTTGATGGAATATTTAACATTGGCGATTTATTTGAGCACAACGTCCCGAAATTTTATTGTCACAAATTTACCAAAATTAAGCTTTGTATATGCCAATACCTTCCAGATTATTTCTTTAGTATAAAATACATAACACGTATTTATATAGCAAATAAGTTAAGTTTATTTATTTATTTATTATCCTTCTGATGCTCTGGGCACTACATTTACAGAACGCGTCCTTATAAATATTTAATCAGATCGGTTTGCGCATGCGCGAAACCAATTTTTAACAGTGTTGACCATCTTGCAGTAAAAATTTCTTTGAAATACCTTCAAAAACGCCAGATATTCTTGATGCTGTTTTTAAATTACCTAAATCTGTTAACCCTATCCAACTTCCATACCGTGTAACGAAGCACCTATTTTCCACCTTGAAGTGTGCGTACTTTAATGATCACCCTGTATCTGGAGGCGCTTCGTTACGAAAAGTGTTATGCCGAAAGTATTTGTGCTGGTTCTAGAAGTTGAAGATAGAAGGTAAAGGTAATTGGTAATTTCTAGAGGTGTGTTTCAGCCGCCGTTATTGTACATAAAAGCTGTAATTAATTCGCCGTTTGCAACCGTTTCCGTCAACACATTTCAATTATCTTTGTTGCATCCGAAAGTTCTTGTCATTTAGAAGAGGACAAATTAATATTTTAGAATTTCACTCCCGTTAAGTAATTATCCCTATGTTAATATAAAACGAGCATTAAAGTTACAAGGCCATGCAGGTTTACGCCTGTATCAGTTTGAAAAGAGACCTTTTGCCGACCTGAGAATTTTGCTGCTTTCATTCCCGCTAAGGAACTTGCCGTAATTTTGTTTGAGTGCTACTGAAGTATTTTTTTAAATAAAAAACGTTCAACAAAAATAATCAAAAACTTATGCTAGTATTTTTATGTTAATTTTAGTTATCACGTCATGCAAAAATTGCGCTTAGCAACTAAAATGTTAAAAATGTTGCATCATATTTTGATCGACTATGTCGTAAAAGCATGTCACGTCATAAACACAGCAAACAATAACAATTTAAACTATCATCATAACGTAGACAAAGCATCACATTGCGGTTATTTAAGCACTCGTATTTGTTAAGGTTTTGAGAATTGCAGTGACGTGCTCTATACTTGGAGACCTTTAACACTATGTCTAATTGCTTAGGAAAAGTGTTCAGATAGTTACATGTGAAGATTCTGCATCAGGGAAGTAACTTTTCAACAAATTAGACTCTTAGATGTACATTTTTTAATTACTAAACCTCTCACCTTTGTCAAATGTCACGAGACAATATTTTCTGAAAACCTTGAAATTGTGTTCAAGTGTTTTGTGTGTTCATCCGAGTTATTAATTTGCACACCCCTTAACAGACAGACATCAAGAAAGAAAAGAAAAATATCTAACCCTTAGACACTGCAGAAGGGGCAACACTAAAGCTTTTAGCAAGTCTGCGCTGAGGTGGCGGAGTAGGAGAATGTATTGAGGTAGAGGAACCTATCTCCTTGTTCTTATCAGTGCTACATCCAACCACTACCTCGTCCCACCAACTCGGTTGTGCTATACCTACACCAATTGTAAAGTCAGTGCAATTCCCAAATGTGACTGGACACACCGTGTGAAAAAAACAAACCGTATACGAACCTAAAAATGCATCAACCTGCCCTGCTATTCCCTTGATCGCTTTTAAAAATATTAAGGGAAGCGCTTGCAAACAGCTGTGATAGCACGGATCAACAACTGTCTCATTGCTTATAGCGTAATGTAAAAATTTCGGTGTCTGACTAATAATCTGTAACACAATGTTAAATAAAATGAATCATTTTTAATTCTTACCTCAGGTTTGGTTAAGTTGGCAGGGTTGCCAATTGTATTAAGGAAACGATACCATGCCTGTACGACTGTGTTGTTAGACATACCTGCAGGAATCAGATCGTCTTCACCTGTAAACACAAATGATCAACTGCAATGAGGAGAGTCGTAAATACCTATTTTTAATTCTGGAAATCCCGGACCATACATGAAAGCAAGCACACGTGCCGTTAACGCCAAATTCACTCTGTTCCACTGTTCGATAAGTGCGATACGATGACGCCAATTCATGCAACGTTCGCGCAATGTTTTCCAAAGCGGTGGCGTTGGGAAACATTTTGCGCATGCGATCAACCAGACCTAAAAGACAATTCGAAAATCAATAGTGAGCAATAATATCAAACAGAGCTTTACTTCAAACAATACACTTAAAACCCTTTCGCATAACTGATCGGCAACATCGTCCTTCACAGAGGGCGGGGCGAGCAGCGTGTCGTTAATTGATAGCAGGAATAACAAAAGGGACTCCCACGTTTCCATTTCTAATATTTTTGACTCCTGGGCCACTTGCTGTAAGGTTCGTAATACTCTGTGACATAATACTGCTTGTCTATTGATAACGTCTTGCCCTAAAAGTTAAAAAGATAAAACGAATCTTTATCATCGACTAAATATCCAAACAAATTTCTAAAATTAAGTTTGAATTTGATATTTAGAGGTTCAAAGAGACTCAGATATCGAAATTAGTAGAGATAATTTAAAATCAAAAGTTGCAAAGAAAGGGTATACACCTAGTTCCTACTCGTCTGTTGGTGTTGCCCTCGGTGTTGCCAAAACAAAACGGAAAATTTTTGAGGAAATAGCAATGATTGTATTTCATTTTCAGCATCCTCTTCAGCATGTTTGGATCTAATCGTATAGAGACATTATACTTGGAACTTGGAAGCAGAGGACAAGATCTAGACTCAACATTGAATAAATATTTCTTCTTCTATTACTTTGTATATTGATTAATGATTATATACCATTTGTCCAAAATGAACAACAAGCGGATCTCTATTAGTGTTCAATACAAATTTCTAACTTCGGTATCCGAAATCCATTTTTATCTTGAACATGATGAGTTTTATTAAATATTAGCAGCCAATGCAAACTTCGTACCGCCTTTGAGAAATTCGGTCTCGTTCTTGCCCGTTCTCGTGGAAACTTCGGGAAGTTCTTTCGGAGTACGCCTTAATGCCCCTAAAGTTTCCACGCAAATGTTATTCGAATTTAAAATCGGTTAATGATGTCTGATTTTGTTTAAATGAGTAATCGTTTTGTTTACCTATTTTGATTTGTATTTGTAAATTTAAATTATTAGGTTCAATCATCTGGAATTAATTGCGCGAAATGTTTTATTAAAATCTGTTATCTCCGGTCGTCGCGATAAGACGTGTTATTGCTGCGTAAGCTAATTAAATTTCAAAATAAGACCGTGTCATAGCGGAAGTTTTTAAGTAAGTTTAAGTAAGTAAAGAAGTGAAGTTCCAGAAGTAACATCAGTTGTTTTTTTGTGCTGTGCTTCTGTAAAGACAATTGCAATTAACCGGATTCTATGGATTATTAACACTTTAAGGTAATTAAGATTTTTTAATTAATTGTTTCAATCTACCGCTTGTTGCGGGTTTATTTGTACTTTGGCCATGAGTGCTTATTTTTCTTTCAGTTTGATTGATTGATTTTGTCGAATAAATTTTGTTTCATCTGTAAATGATCTATTGCGTGCTGAATTTCTCTGTTCGTACCCAGGGTTTTGCTAAATGTTTGTATGTAAATTTGTACTATATTTGTTTGAAATTGTGGAGTTGAAAAAGGCTGTTGAGTTTTATCAAATTTAAGAAACGTAAAGTCGTACAGAGATTTTTAGTTGTGGCGATTGCTGGACATGCCATGGAAAAAGTTGTAATTATTTCTTATATATTAAATAAATTCCTTTTACTTTGTATGTATCATTCACTAAAACCAAATAAGGAAGTACGCCTTGGTCCTTGAGAGTATGTTTACAGATATAAATTTACTGGAACACAATAGCTGCAAATATTTTCCGAAATTCAATAGGGATTACACATATCTGTAATACAGTAGTAACACAGGAACTTGAAAAAGATACTGCTCATTCCATTTTTGGGTTCAAAAGCACATATTTTGTATGCAAGCGCCTGTAATAAATTTGAAACTGTTGTTCGTACTTACCTTTAAAGCTAAAGAAAATGAAAGCGGGGGTTTGTACTTGTACAAAAAATTAAGGCTTATGCTAACTATTACTCTACAATATGGAATGCAACGAACATCAATTTTGTACAGAAACATGGTATAAATCCTACCTATATCCTGATATAGAAAAGTCCAATCTTGTATGCGTAATAAAAAAATAATCAGACAGTTAGATTGTATTTGAACTAAGTCTAAATCATTTACCTTCTCCTTCGCGTGGTAAAAATAAATGATAGCAATGCCCGATGATTTTCCGTGCGTACATATTAGGCTCATTGCAAACAGGTCCGGGTACGCAAACTTTGTTCGTTGGCAGCAAGGATGACAACCATTCGCAATAAATATTCACACAATCTTTTATAATGTCGTGCTCTGTTAAAGGCAAAGATAAACCAAAGCAAATTACTTCCATACACCACTGAACCTAAACAACAAAGTAGTACGTCGATAGGATAAATAAAAAAACTAACCTCTTTGTCAGTATTAAGCGGGCTAGGCTCAGCTGCCTGGGTAATGCCTAAATTATTTGCCAACTGCTTTACGACATTTATGGTCACCTCACGTCCGATTGACACACCGAACTTGTCTAAAACGCTGTAACCCTCCGAGCCGCATCTCTGAACCACAGGACTTAAAGAAGTCCATTCCGAATACATTCCCTTGCTTTCAGTGTTTTCCTATTGCGAACGTTTTAACTTTATTTCACTTAATTTCCGTACTCACCTTAAAGTTAACGCGATTAAATAAACCCAAATTCATAGGAAAGGATTTATTTAATTTAACAGCTCTCTGTAAACAGCATTCGTTGCGAATGACGAGTTTTGTGGTGCTTTAAAAGTGTACACTTCACAATTCCATATTACATGTTGATGTAAGCAATCAATCTGAAATTACGAGTTTTTTAGGTTAGGATTGTTGACAAATCTGACATATACAAACAAACAGCGTTGCCATGTCAAAGGTTTATGCATTCATTATACAGGGTGACTCACGAGCTTCGTTGATTAATGATGTGTAATTAGCACATCTCACAACAAATTGTGTAGATAGCTTTATACCGATTTGAATGGTACCTTCTATATTTTATTGTAATAAATAATTCTTAATGCATCTCAAATGCGTGTCGTCGTACGTACGGTACTTGGAAGCACATATTTTGTTCTTATCATTAACATAAAAAAACGAATGTTCTTAATCCTGGAATTCGTCTCTAGTGACAAATACATTCATGATACTTTGATACAGCAAAATATTGGTTAGAATGATACAATCAGTATTTGATGAGAGGATTCGCAACGTTTTGAAAACCGTTTGACAATCGTGTTAAAAAACTTCATATAGAAATTGCAAGTATTCCTACCAAAACGAGAGGTCCTTCTTGGAACACCTTTTGTGCGTGTTTGTGCCTTCCGTGCGATAACTGTTGAACAGAAAGTCCTCTAAACGCATGAAGGCAAAGCTCCCAATAACTATTGGATCCTTTCACACTTTGTTGTATCGATCAATTTTTTAATATTTTTTGAATAAGTACTTAACTTTAAGGGTACCTGTTCTGTTCAGACGGTTTGTATACGTTTAAATACCATAAATTTTGCCAACAAGCAGAAACTTTCTCCTCTTGGGGCGAATTGTAAGTGAGAACTTAATTTGATGGCAACTTTTTGACTATGGTGGGTTGTGCTGAGGAGGTTGTCCACCTGGCGGTACGCCTACGTTAGTCGCTTAGTGTCCCTTGTACATATTGTCGACGATGTGGGCACTGTCGGCGTAATGTCCTTAGTCGGCGGTATGGACCATAAAAAAATCGTATCGTCGTTGTGACTGCAAGCAGCCGACGACTCAAGTTCAATCCGGACAAGACGCAAAAGTATCACAAAGAAGCGAATCCAGAACTTAACCGTAAAGAGACAGAAGATCGAATTGGCGGGTTCCAGAAGCACAAGAAGAAACGTCCCAGAAGAATGGGCGGAATGGAACCTTCGAGACACTTTTCAACCGATTATCAAAACGATGTAGCATATAGGGTGATTAAAATAATCACCCTATATAAAATAATCACACAGAAGTGGCAACGTCGCTTTGTCATGACATTTATAGTTTTTGCTAATCATGAAAATTTTGTATTGAAAATCCAAACTAATTTTTAAAAATGAATGAATTAAAAGTTGATAACATAATTATCCAAGTTCGAGATAAGTTACAAAAAGACGGGATTAAGCTATGGTTAAGTCCATATTATTTACCTACAGGACCATCAACTTGTGAATTAGAAGTAAATATGAAAGCAAAAATTATTGTGGGTTACATTCGGTTTTAGAGACTGGCAAGGGAGTATAGTTCTGATTTAAATATTCAGTACGATTGCTGCTATGCTGCCGTTAGCGAATTACAATCTATCGCTTTGGAAAAGTTGAAGCAAAGAGATTTGTACCGCGCTTCAGGAATTGCTACCTTAAAAATGAAAATACTTGTGCAAAATGTTCCCCCAAAGTTAATATCTCGGCAAATTTGTTTAAAAGAGATGGGACAACACTTGAAGCGTATGGTGTCGGAAACAACAAATGTACCTGAAGAAAGGTGAGTAATTAAAGTATGTAATAACATTACACAATCATGTTTATAGTTTAAAATTGATCGCAAACGGGAAAGTTATAGAGGACAGCAAGTCACTTTTCGAGCAGGGTGTACAAAACGGCCAGCAAATTTTAGCCCTAACTCTTAACCAGTCGCTAACTGACCTGCGCGAAACCGAAAGTCGCTGTCAAGAGATTGAGAATGTTAAGGCAGATACACAACTTTTAGCATCCGATGACAATGATTATATGGAGGTATTTCCACAGCAAATAAATATCAACTTGATTATGTAATACTTAGAATTCTAGCTGGAAGATCAAGCCGGTAACCCTGTAAGAATACCCGCTCATGAACGAAAAGCGCTTATGGTCGCGCTTGCCTTACACGAAAAAGGAAAAAGTGCCTTGAAACGCGAAGATTATTCTCGCGCGCTGGTATTTTTTTTAGATGCTGACAAGGAGTTTAGGTAAGTTGGAGGTAGAAATTGTAGTTTGGGCCTACAATCCTAGAATTATGAGGTATACTTTCGGGGACTTTTTCGAATTTAGGGAATGTAGCAGATGTTTTTTAAAAATGTTTCAAAGACTTTAGGCATCGTTATGTCCGATGAGAGCTTTAGTTTGTTAAGCACTACCCCTAGGATTGACTCTTCTCATGTACCAACAATTTAACTGGGTGTACTGAAAGGATCCATTTCAGAGTCCTGTATTATTTATAATTTATATTCGAGCGGCATTGTAAAAGTAATGTTATAGCAGATGTTAAATTGAATTTTAGTAGGTTTGTAATAAGAGTCTTCTTAACGGTAAGGGTAGATAAAGTGATCACTTTAACGGCAAGGGTAGATAAAGTGAAACAAATCATTGTGCATTCTAGTGACATCTGTCGTTATTAAAAATGGGACACAGAGCATGATATAAAATGAAGTTCAGAACAGAATACAATATTGTTTCCATGGAAACGACGGGAGAACCTAAGTTTGCTATTTTGGACGTTTACCTACAAAATATTCAGAAGTTTGACAATGGTTTCTCTGATTTCTGCTATAAAATAAAGTTTTGTATTATACATGAGGATAAAGGAAAGCTAACCATCTCGAAAGTTAATTCCTTCGATGGTTAAGACATCCCTTTACGTCTTGTATAATAAATACCTATAATTTCATATTCTACATCGGCAATATAGTTATTCTGGTTTCAAAATATCTACTGTCGGCTTAAAAACATGTAGACTTAAGTTAAATATTGGAAATAAAATTAGGAGGGCGTGTTAAAATGGTTAAGTTGATAACATGCTCAATTTGATATGATGTCTTTTGTTGATTTTCTTTTTATGAAGCGAGAAAGTTGAATACAACATGGAAAACCCAAGAAATATGGATTAGGTATGTATCGTTCGCAATGAACAAGTTTCATGGTGTTGATAATACAATATAATAATAATTTATGTATTCAGTGTGCAAACAGTAGCGGTCTGTACTGCCTGTGACGTCATTTGACCTAATGGTAATGTTACGGCGCATCAATATACAAGCGCACACGTACTTAGCGCACCAATATGCATCGTATGCGAATAGGTCAAGTGACGTCACACGCTGAAAAGAAATTATTTTTCTACGCGCAACTGTAAAGTCTTGTACCTTTTTTTAAATGATGATTCTTTCCCATTTTTGTTTCATTTTGCTTAAGTT